TCAGTCTTATTTTTGATATTTTGATAACATCATAAAATCAATTCTCTGAATTTTTTCTTAATATATTTTGCACAAATTTTTGGATGTTACTAAAATTTCAATGCAATGAAATGCATGTTGCAATAATATCTTAATTTCTTTAATTAATATTTAGTGAACTATCAATTAAATGCATTTAATTCATTTCTTTAAAACATAGTAATCAAAATTTTACAAATTTCAAAAAATCAATGAAATCTTCAAGTGACTTTCGTTTTTTAAACATTTTTTATTACATTAATGAGTAAATGCTTCATGTCAATAATAAGTTTATTGTTATATATTCATCAAAGCAAGCAAATCAAATGCTAACTTGCTAAGATGAAATGTTATTATTAATGGATATCTATTGAGAGAAATTAATTCTAAATTTTATCTAATAATAATATTACTTAATAATAATAATAACAATAACAATAGTAACAACAATAATAAGAGTAATAATAAAAACAATAGTGATAGTAATAACAATGAAAATAATACTAATAACAAATAATAATCATAATGACAATAGTAGTGATAGTAATGTTAATGAAAAATTTCGCTTTGAAAAAATGTTCTTCCATCTTATGAAAAGCTATTGTCCTTACTTACTTTTATTTTAACTTCTTTAAATTTACTTTTATTTTAAATCCCTCCTTTTCTACTGATAGAAAACATGCGAGTTTTTCTTTTATTTAATAAATTAAGTTATGATAACAGTTGTTAAACAATCGAATTGTTTTCATAGAAAATGATTGATTAGCTATAGTTCAATTTCATTAATAGTTTTCAAATTTTTAACTTATATATATACAAAATATATTTTACATACAGATATTTTAACTTATATATTCTGTTTGCCCTTGCAAATTTTCTTCAAGTTTTAACGTTTTTTGATTTTTTAATTTGTCTTATACATCCAATTTCAGTGGATTAGAATTTATGAATTAAATTTATAGCTTTAAAAAAAAAAAAAAACTATATAAAATGTAAAATATGATATTATGGATTACTACACCACTTGAAAATCTCTTTGATCTTACTTCATATGAATAACAAAAGATACTTTAGTTATTGGTTTTTTATTGTTTAGTTTCATCATGTCATTAAATTTTTGAATATTTATTGACAGTTAATAAATTATTATTTTAATCATTATTCATTTATAAGTTAAAACTGTATCAATGAGCCACACTAATTACTGCTAATATTTCATTACAATAAATTCTAAATTATTAATTACTACTAACTTTCTATTAAGCAATTAGAATTGAGTTATTAATTACTGCTAATTTTTTTATTATGATTGAATTTGCAGTAAATTTTTCTTACTTTCTGCACTGATCATTTTGTATTATCACTGATAAATATGGAGATAGGCAAATTGTAATACTAAATTATTGAAATAAAATATAACAGACGGATTTTTCATAAAAATGGAATAAACGGAAAACTCTCAGGAATTTTTTTGCATTACTTCAATATTTCAATAATTGAAATAAACTTTTTTTACCTTCTACATTGATTATTTGTGGCAGTAGTAGTAATACTGGCAGTAGTAGTAGTAGCAGTAGCAGTAACTGTAGTAATAATAGCAATAAAAATATTTATTAGATTATGATTGTAATTATAATATATGAACATTAATTAATCAGTTCGTTGATTCCTTCTTCTAAAATTTTGTCCGTGAAAATAACTTTGCAAATAATTCTTTTACTTTTTTCTCACTGCGATTTAATGAAGAAGAAGCAATCATAGAATCTTAATGGATGAGTAAAAATGTTTGCAATACATTTTCTTAGATAAACTTAAAATGCAGTAATAACATAACTTGCTTTTTTCTCTCCTTCCTTCCCTCTCTCTCTCTCTCTCTCTTTCTCTTTCTCTCTTTCTTTCTTCTATTCTCGTCCTATTATTGTTATTGTTTTCATAAATGAACAAAAATGATTGCAATAACATTAAATTTTTTTCGTTATTGTTTAACTGAAAATCATATATTCCTATTATTACTTTTATTATTATTGCTGTTATTGTTTTTTATTTATTAATTATAGAATAAGAAAAAGGACAACTTGAAAATTTTTATTATATTTCAGTTAAAATTAAATAAATTTCCCTCAAAGATTAAAATCTAATTGTACTAGCGACCAAAAATTTCATTCGTTAAAATATTCATTAATTGACAATAAAATTTGTCATTTTTTTTTTTTTTTTTTTGGGAAAAAATGGATCACAACAAAAGCAAAAGTTATTTGTAAAACAAAAGCTAAAAATAGCAATATGTTTGATAACTTTTGCATATTCATTGTTTTTTTTTCTTCATAAATAAAAATTTCGATTCAAAATTTAAATTAAAAATTCTTATATGGGCTACAAATAAATCGCTAAAATTTTTGTCAAAATGAAAATTTCTGAAACTGATATTTATTTAAATTTGAAAGAAGTCATTAGTGGCGTAGTAAAAAAGAGAATGAAAAAGAAAATTTATTTTTAAAAAAAATTCGAGTAATAATTGTCAGTTCATTGTTTCCATATTATTCTTTTTTTTTAATATTCCTCTCTTTTTTTAAAATTTGTTTTTTTTTTCTCTTTCAAACTTCGTTTTTTAATGCTATTTATTTCGGTTTGATAAGTTATTGTTTAAAAATAATTGTATATTTTTCAAAAAACTTATATTTAATTTTCCTTCTAAGTGATTTATTATTGCTTTTTACTGTTTATTACATCTAATTTTTCTCTATTTTAAAAAGCACAAACAAACAATTTTTTTTATGTTGAAAAAAATTACAATTTTTTCTTTACCTTTTGTTTCCAGAATTTTTTTTTCTCAAACAAAGAAGAAAAACAAATTTTTTTCAATATTTGTGCTATTTTAAAAATCACAAATAAAAATCTTTTTTCCCGTTGATGAAAAAAAAATCACTTTTCTTTTTCATTTTCGCTTTCTTTTTAAGCGAAAGAGGAAAAAATTTAATTATTGAATCATAGTTATCACTTTTAGTTACTTTTTCTACTAATTCATTAAAACTTGTTTAAATTAAACGAAAGTAAAAAAAAAAAAATTGTTTCAATAAAATTTTTTAATACTTTGAAAGAAAATTTTATTGGCAGAAAAGTATAATAAACAGGTAGAAAGTATGAGTTATACTCTAACACATGTAATTACATATTAAACTATACTTTGAGTTCTTTTTTAAGTTAAAACTAAGAATACATGTGTTTTCTATATGATCATATCGCAAATTAATTTTCTTTTCCAATACTTTTTTTTGAAAAAAGTCATTTTTTTTTAAATGGAGCTTTTAATTATTCAGTAACCTTAAATTTAATTAAAAACTTTAATTTATTTCATTAAAAGAAATAAACCTTCAAATAAATAAAATTTGAAATATTAAATATTTCAACCCTTTAAATAACCTATTGCAAAAATAGTTTATTTTTACAGAAATTCATTGAAATTACTCTCGAACGCTAATTAACATATTTAAGAAATCGGAAACTTAAACGAGTTATAAGTAAAATTCCATCATTCAATTTCAAATATTCCTAAATACAATTAATTAGTGGAGCCAATAAACAAATAGAAGGGTAAAGGAGAATATAAGTACTTCACTAATTAAATCATAAATTTAATTTAATTTGTTATTACATTATTACAAAGCATTTTCATTTTGCAATACGAAACAATGAATTCATACATTTGTTGTGTTTTAACGCAATATAATTATATCTACGAGAAAAGCAATTTATTTGCAAAGAATTAGCATATATAAAATAAATTTTACATAAGTAATGATTTTTGAACTCAGAATTTCATCCTACTTATACTTATTTTGGAAAAAAGTGCTTTTTTTTCAAATTAAAATGAAAGAAAAAGGAGCAAGTGAAGGGTTAATTTAACTCTACGACATAAAAATGAAGTTTTAATTATTTTTAACATTGCAATTAGTGTTGCTGCTTTCAATAAAAATACTAACAGAACAAAAAAAAAAAGAGAGAGAGAGAGAGAGAAGGAGTAGCAAATCGAGTTTTTCTCTGAAATTTATTATAAAATTAGTAAAACGAATAAAAGATTAGTTGAAATTTTTGAAAAAATTTGAGTAAGTTGAAGCAGATGTTAACAAATGGTTAGCAAAAGCATTCACTGCTACCATCAAGCAATCGAAATAAAAAGCAAAGCGATGGGATGCATAAGTCAATTAAGTCTTTGAAGTATACAATCGATAGTAATTAGTAATCAATTAAAATAAATGAAAGGTTAGATATTTATGAATTGTTAACTATGCTGAAGTATCGATGATCGATCATTTGTAACAATTTTTAGAAAAAAGAAAGAAAAAATATGAAAGAATGAAAAAGAAATGATTTTTTGTTTTCTTGTTTTTTTTTGTTTTTTTCTTGAAAAATAAGAAGAAAAGAAGCGAACTATTTTTATTTTTTTAAATTAAATTTTTTTTTAAATTTTTTTAAATCAGTGTCAATAACATGTTCATGAGAAAACCGATTACTAATGCATTACTTTGAAAGTTGTGCATATGATCAAAAGGAAAGAATTTAATTTTTTGAATTTTAGTTATCAAGTTATAGTTAAAATTCAGATAGTAATTAATAAGAGTATAGTAAATGAAAAAAAGTAGGGTGAAAGATAAATCCAAGTAGAGGGATTTATGAGATGAATTGTTGAGTAAGCATCTGAAAAACTTTGTTTTTATCGTTGTTAATATTATATATCAATAACATAATAATAATAATATCATCATCTTTCTTTTTCAATACTTACGAATAAAATATGCAGCAATCAATATTGCTAGGCATATAATTAATTAATTTCAATTTGAATTATTCGGAAATTTCAAGAGTTAGCAACACCATCATTATTATCATTGATTATTTTCTAATTACTCATCAAATATCGATGAGTAATGTCATATTTTTCACATCAAGAGATGGCTGCTGATGTTCGTTCAGCTGATGCTTGTTTATGATGACGAGGATGATGATGGTACTGATGGTGACGATGGTGGTTGTAATAGTTGCGGTGATTGTGACGGTGATGGTTGTGATGGTGATGGTAATTTTGTCGATAATTTGCTTCCATTTGCTTTGTTTCCTTGAATTTTACAAAATTTTAGTTCATCTCAAATTTTTTGGCTTATTTATTTTTATTTGAAAATGATTAATGATTGGAATTTTTTTATTAACACTTTAAACTTCTACTGATGTTGACTGCTTTAATAATTGACATCAATATTAGCAAAAATGTATTAGTTGGCATTTCTCAAATGTAGTAGCTATGCTTCTAATTATCATTACTCTGATATTCTCAGATAGTTAGCTATCCTGGCACATCTTAAATGCTTTTCATATGATTATCATGATATTTTCAAGTGTGATGAGACAATAACCTTCATCAACAGATTTGATTGAAGTAGTTGTTATTGTTTTGGATTTGTTTTCGTCTTTAGTTTCTACTGTCGCCATCTGTGTCGCATCCTTCTCGGTATTTGTCTTTCTGATAGCAGATGACGATGATGATGGTGATGCTGATGGCGCTGACGTCGTCGTCATCGAGCCTTTTTTAATGGATAAACTTTGTGCAGTTCGTAGTTCAGTTTTTGCTATAAGCGATTTTGCTAATTCTTTTTTCTCTGATCCGGAAGATTTTAATAATGTTATTGTTTGCCCTATTTCATTACCATCCTTTGTCATAATGTAAACCGGTAAAACAGCTGTTTCCGGTTTCTCTTCTTTGAAATGAAACACAACTGGTTGTCCTCCCTCCATATGTGTCATATATGATGGCAATTCAGGCATCTGCAATTCTTTCATCTTTCTCTTCAAAGTATACTTTCGAAGAAATCATAATGGAATCTAAAATTTCCAATCTATCCATCAATCCACTGCATGTCAGATATGTCCTTTAGTTAGCATAGTTTTGGCATCTATGGTCATTTGAGTGGACAATGTTAATGGAAGGCAAACATATTTGGTCAACAAACTCATTGAATATTTTTGTGACTTTTCTCCTCAATTCTTCTAATTGAAAAATTATTGTATTCGAAAAAAGGACATAATACAAGTTTTAAATTCAATTTTAAATTTAATTGCACCCCTATGGTAAAAACTTTCCATTTTTACCCGTGCAATTCACATACTTTTTATTTTCCCTACAATTATTTTTTAAAACGAGATTGAAATTTACCACCTTTTGTTAAGTTGAGGAAATGCTAATAAACTTTTTAGGTATTCTTTTTACGACTTCTATTCATAGAGAAATAGTCAGATTCAAATTAGTTTTACAAATATCGATTGAAAAAAAAAAAGAAATTACAGCTTTGAAAGTATCGTCGGTGTCAGTAATTTGTGTTAGCATCGGTTCTTCGCCTGTTTTGGAATTTGTTGAAGAAGCACTTATATGAATTGGACAAAATTGCCAAACTTCTTGTAATTCCTGAGTTTTCTATAAATTTTGCTGATTATAATATTAATTGACGTTTTTATACTAAATTTGAACGATAATGTAATTATTGCATCCTTTTTTCACCTCTTCCATAACTGAAATGTTTCTACCATAAAAATGACAGAAATTTTGCGAGAATAAAAAAAAAAACTTTTTTTGCTAATATTAAACAATAATTTAATAAAAATAAATTTATTAAACTGATTAAACTATAGTTCATACTTCTGAAAATTAAAAATTAGCAAAAATTTTGGTAAATAAATTTGTTTAATCGAAACATGTCATCAAATATAGTAATCGAAAAATGCCATACTTCAACAGATAATAATTTCTTTAGTTGTTTCTTGTCTGATGGAATTTGTAGAATTTGCTTCGTCTCTTCTCTTGTTAATACTTTTGGCCTCATTAGAAATAGAATAATAATTGCAAGTAATGTAATTATTGCACCTACTAATGCACCTAATATGATTACCTGTAATAGGATCGCATTTGCCAATAATTTTACTAAATTTTTCAAATGAAAAGTAAATTAATTTCTAAAGAAAATTTTAAATTAATTAATGAAAGAGGGAAAAAGAATTTTCTATTATTATTGGTGAAAATACTTTAAGTAAATAGACAACCAATGTTGATATTCGCGATGTTAACGTAACATTAACGACGACAGAAAGCAAAAGAATATCCATTATTAGTAATTATTAAGTGTGATTAATTGATTATCAGCTGAATTAATTTCTGACAGTTTGAAAATCATACAAATTTCAAGAGGTCAATAAAAATGGTTTTGCTTTTTTGTTTTATTTTCGAATTTCAAAAATATTGTTCAGATTTGACTCAGTTTTACATTGCTTCCAGTCTTATCCAAGGATCTAAGATCAAAAGGGAATAAAAAAGTTGATGAAAAGTTCTAGGCTGGGAATGAAAAAATAAGCTAGAAATATATTAAATCTGAAGCGTAAAAACAAAATATATCTTTGAGAAATATTAATTTTCTTTCTTATGAAATTTTCGGATTAAAATGGCCAATTCTAATTGTTGTACACTTGTTAAATGAATAATTTAAATAGTACAAACTAAATTAGAAATCGATAGTTTGCTGTAATCCGGATGATATGATAAGGAACTCGTAGCGAAACCGGATTGTACAATATTTATCACCACAGCAAATAATAACCAGCTAACCATAATCTAAACTAATCTAACAAATACAATTCATCTTCCCTTCAATCTTCCCCTTTTCCACTTGTCAGAAAAAAAATATCAAAATGATTTGCATAACACATTTTATTTTATTTGGATATGGAAATTTTTAAAATTTGATAAAATAAATAGAAAAGAAACAAGGAAAATTTTATTGCAGTTTTTTTGACGTTTTTTTTGATTTTTACATGAAGCATTTCAATCTTATTTAAATATAATTAAACTAGAAGCATAATTAATTGCTTGAAATAGATCTTTAAATAATACGTTGCCTTCTTTTTTGTCTTTTAATTAGCACTAATTTAGATTTAAATTAAGGTACCCAGCGATAACGCTGATAGTAATGAAAGATTTTAGTATTCACTAAATTATAAAGAAAAACGCTCTCTTCCTTCATTTGCATTTCTCCTTCGTTCTTCGATTCGATTATCACTCATATGATGATGTATAGGCTTCATCTGTTGATAAGGGTTCGTAGTGATAAGATCGACTGGATCATTTGATTATGATTTTGTGAACAACAGGATCAATGCATAGAATTTAATGGAAGGATTTATAGATAAATTTATCATTTATTTAACTGAATGTAATCTTTAATAATAAAAAAAAGTGAATTAATTAATAATCAATAATAAGAAAAATTAATGTATCAACAATTAATTACTAATTATGTTTTTAATAATTAACAATCAATAATAATAATAAATGAATAAAAAAAGAGAAACAATTATTCTTATTAATAAATTCAAATGTATAAAGTGTGAGATGTAAATGGATAATTAAGTTAAGTAAATGAATAAACAAATAAACTGAACGAAGAGATTAGTAAGTGACTGAATTATAAATTAAATTCAACTATCATGTAGACAGACTGATGCATGCTGATAAAAGTACTGCATTATCATCAGGCATTCATTTTCGGTGATATAATTAGTAGTAAAATTAATTAATGCCGGACATAGACACAGAGAGGAAAAGAAATGTACTGCTACCTGCAAAATGCATGTCGTGCAGGTTGTGTGTGTGTATGTCTGCATCTGTGAGTGTTTGAATAAGGAAGGAGCTGGCAATGTGGCACAGTGAGGCTGGCTCATCACTTGTCACTGAGTCGTTGACAGTTGAGTTCTTTGATCATTTCTCTTCCAACTTTTTACATATGACTGGGAAGTATTTCTTTATTTATTTTTAACTAACAAAGATCGGAAATGCTTTCGAGTGACGTAAACGTAGAAAGTTGGATGATGAAGTATAGCAGTCGATAGAGAAACCACGTACCTCATTCATCCTTGTTATCGTTCGCACTGATTTATATATTTCTTGGAATGTTTCAGATGGTTTGTTCCTTTTTTCATAATATACAGTATCATACCGGAAGAGTAATACTGTACTATGTCCAATGACCGGAAGTACTGGGGGAGAACTGGGAAAGAAGTATCGTACTCTGCGTAGTGTCGAATTTATTTGTCAAGTTTGTAAAAACATCACTTCCAGTTTCGTGTCACCAAGTAATGATGTCCTAATTTTCATATAAACAACTGTGGATAACTTTTTGTTTAATAGCTATCGATTTTAACGCCTTTAATATTTGATAACATTTTAGTGAATTTTTCATAGTTGGTAAATTTCGTTTTTTCTTTTTTTTTTTTCTTTTTTTTGAACAAAATATTCCGACACCTAATAAATGATCATTGCAGAATTAAAATTAAGTTTGTTGGTGAATTTTCAAACGTCGGATTTGTTGATTCGAAACAAAACAGCAAATTAGCAAATATTTTATGACGTGATAGACAATGTCATTAAAATCGGTCGTGCTGGGCGATGATCGAGAAGCATCCATTAAACATCAGGTAGAAGAACTTACAAAAGCTGTGGAAATCTTTTTTCAGAACATTGTGCAATGATTAATTTGTTAATTGCTGGCCGAATTACTCTTCAGAGGTTATCTCAAAATTAAATTGGGATTTTTTGAAATCTTGAGATAAAAACCGCTATGAACTTAAGGTTAATAGTAATGCATGTAGGTGGTCTTGTTCAGCGATTCTTTTGTGATTTGTTGAAAATGAACTTATGTGATATTATGAAAATGCAACCGCTAAAGAGAAATGTCGTAAGTGAATTAAAAAGGCGAAAAGAAGGAGTGAGGAATTTTTGTTAGTATTTCAGTATATCTTAATGCATTGTGAAATAGTACAAAATGCTTTTCTATTCATAATTGCAGTAATGTGGATTTAAATTTTGTTTTTAATCAACCATTCACGAAATTTTCATCGGATTTCATTAATGAAATTGAAATTAAAATTACTGCTAGAGCTGGAATTTCGCTGTTTACTGTTTAATTATTCTTATTGTTGTCTATTTATTTCTCTGCGTTATTTCATGCTTTCAGATTGTGTCAGTTCATAAAGCATTGAACAAAAATGAAGTACCATTAAAGCATAAGCACGCACGGCAAGTAATTGTTGGAACACATAAAGAGAAATCTTGTGCATTATTTTGGAGCTGTATTTCACGCATTCAGTTGGAAAAAAACCCAGTCATTAGTTGGAAATTTTGTCATTTGCTTCACAAGGTTTGCTTCTACATACTAAAAGGTTTTCATTTTAAAAAAAGAAAAAACAAAAGGAAAGATTCAGTGCATGTATCTGTTCTTTATTAGATGTTTTAAGATTTTCCATTGATATAAGGAAACTCAAGAATTGTACTGAAAATTTAACTTCTGCACACGACTAAATAATTCATTATGTGAGTGACACTTTCTGCAATTTCCACTACTTTCAAATAATTACATAAGTTATTTTTATTGTCGTTTAATGGCTAATCGTGTTATGAGATGTTATCTGCTATGCTTTGCCTTCTGTTTCAGCCTGTGGTAGCAAGTATTTTATGTTTGAGTTTTATAACAACTCAGAGCCTTCAATAGATGATTCAGCACTAAAAAGGAATTTACTTATATTTTGAACTAGCTGGTCTTTTGTAAGTCTACAATTGTTAACCTATCCTAACAATATTGCGTCGACTCGCACTTTTTGCAGCTAATTCAAGATGGTCATCGTAAAGTGCTAGAAGAATCAGTTCGATATAAAGCCCGTATCGAAGCGCTAGGAAATTTCTGGTATCACCTTGAGAATTCCGATTACGGTCGACCTAATTCTTCTTATTGTAAAATGCTCGTCAGCCGTCTCGAGTTTCACAACCGAGTTAGCATCTTTATTTTGTTTTATCATTCTTTTTTGGTTGTGTAAAGTTTATGTTTTTGGAATTCCTGTCTGTTATAGAGGTTCTGAATTTATGTTTATTTCAGAATCACTCGATACCGGGGAATCTAAGATTGAGCCCCAGTCAAGTTCAGGCATTAGCAAATGTCGATGTGAATCAGTCGTTTGAGCTTTCAATTGAAATGTTGGATCAGATGGATGATTTGCTGACTTTGCAAGCAGACGGCAATTTTTTTAATGAACAGTATTGTCTGACTAAAAGTTAAAGTTTTTTCGTTATAACTTATATCATTTTAGTTCTCAGAAAAGTGGACAATGTTAACTGGAGTTCTTTGGTTCCTCAAGGACAGTGCATGTTATCACCCTTAATACTCATAATTCTTGATACAAGCAAATTCTATGATCATCTGGTGAAATTGATTTTCAAGCTGCACTCAAGTAAGCATTTTTCAACTTGTAAAGTAGACAAGTTAATAGAAAAAGGCTTTCCTCAAAATTTCAGTACTTCTGTGATAATTTTAATCAAAGCGAACTTTTTCCTTCACCTGTCATGGACTATGAATTAATCTTAATATTTGGGATTGCTCTATTATTTTTCTTAAGTAATCTTACTCATTCTTTTTTTTCGTTTTTCGTTTCTCTATTGCAATTTTGATTTTGTTTCAACCATTGCTCTGACACATTTCCAGCTGTAAACTTTTCAGAATTGCCTCCAGATGCATTGGTTGGTCATAGAAGCCGATTTAATTCGGTTTTTCATCAAACAAAGGAGTTTTATGAAACTTCAACAAATTTACAGTATTTCAAGTTCCTAGTTTCAATCCCGAAATTGCCGACATACCCGCCTAATTTCCTTCAGGTGGCACATTTGTCTCGCTGTCGACTTATCTTTAATTATTTCGACTTCGTCTTAAGACCAGTCCACAAAAATTTTAGGCATCTGAATTGGAAAGTTATCAAGCACCAAATGCTTACCTTCACGGTGATAACGTTAGCGAAGCCGATACTCCTCCTGATGAACGATCTGTAGTTGAGGAAAGTTTAGTTGATGTTGTAGAGACTGGGTCGCAAAACAGTTCTGGTCACATGGACTCGAAGTAATTCCTGTGCTATTATTCTATAACTTACGTCCTTTCTTTTTACATTGCATTATGGGGAATTTTTTTTCTAATTCTGGATTTGGTTGTTAGGCTCATTTGTTACACTGTGTTTAATTCAGTTTTTCATATTTCTTCTTTATTTCAGAGATGCAATAATCGAAGCTTTAAGGCGGGATGTGGAAGATTCCCGTTACCACAATGAAAGGCTTATGAACGAGGTATGTGATGGATATTGTAAAAATTGATTGGTATTTTGTTTCTTTTAGAATTGATAGTTATTCTTCACCAAAATTTTAGCTTACACTGATGACTTTAAGAACTGCTGTTTTTCTTTATTTTTACTTTGCAATCGCTTGGTTTTTCTTTACAAATTGTAGTTACGATTTATTTAAGGCACGTGCTCGTATTGAACAGTATGAAAACCGCTTGATGCAAGCGCAGCAGGAAAACGATCATTACAAGCAGACATTGGATGAAGTGAAGGTGCAGTTGAATATTTATACCATTTAGTATTTTGCGTGTTTTTTTAAAATCGTTTTTTTTTTTTTAATTTAGAGCGAGGTCGATAGACTGCGAGAATTAACCATAGTGAGAGTTGACGAATCTCAGTTACTCGAAGCTGAACAAAAAGCTCAAAACAGTGAACTCAATTATCAGAAAATGAAAAGTGCTTATACCAACTTACGACAGGAGCACATTGGGGTAGCTTTTATGTTTTGCGTGTGATTAATATTTGCATGACTCATTTTTTAGAACGCTTTAGATCTGTTATCTATAATTCAAACATAGCTGTTTTTTTTTTTCCTTTTCTTTTTTTGGTTTTAGGCACTTACGAAGCTTTCTGAGACTCAAAAAGAGTTATTGTCTTGTCGAACGGAGAAGCAAAATGATGAAGAAACTATTTCAAACATGGAAAAGAAAGTGGCAGAATTAGAACGAGAAAGCATAGATATAGAAGAGAAAATGCAAGATGCTAATAATGTCATTGACAGCCTCCAAAGAAGGATAACTTTACGAGATGATGAAGTTAAGGAATTGAAACAGGTATATTGCAGTCAAACGGTGTCACCAAAGTTATTGATGATTAGGATGAATCATATAAACATGGTAAACTTGGCAGCTTTTATATTTATACGACTTTGATAGTAGAGTCTCTTTTGAGGAGGCTGTGTGATAGCTAAACAATATCAGATTTCAAAAAATATAAATAAAAATCTTCTAAAATGTCAGCAGGGAAGTTTGAAACTAGAAAGAAAGTTAACTGAGATTTAAAGAAGAACGAACTGTTCTGGCGAAGCATTCCTTTGTTTTTTTTTTTTTTTATCTGGTTGATGTTAAGCAGTTAGTCAAGCTTATCTAAATATATCTGAAGCAAGATGAGGCAGTGGACTTTCGTATGGTGAAGGAATTGAAAGCAAAGAAATTCGCAAACGACTTGTTAGGAGTGTTAAAATGACCTGTCAGAAATGTGTGGAAGATTTAGAAAATGTTGATGAGATGTGTATGCTAGTGCTAGTGACTTATTTTATTTCAGTCTTTTGCAAGCGTTGTTATTCAGAGATAAGCCTGTAGAAATTTTATTAAAACAAGCAGAATTTTTTGTAGACAGTACAACAAATGCAAGCAGAAAATATCAAGAACGTGGAAGAAAATGAAGAGAAAAACACAGCCAAACTGCGCACTGTTCTGAAAAATTTATTTAGTAATAATAATTTTCTCTATTTTTCATTTTTGATCGGCTTTATAACCATTTTAACATTTAAATTACAGTAGTATAACTACAATAAGTAGTTTAATCCGACGCATTTCACTGTTACAGCTTCACTGGGTGAAGTGTATGGTCAAATCTTGAAACAGTCGTGTGAAGATCTCCAGAATGCTTTATCAATCACTTATCCCAATCGTAAGTACATTTTTATCCATTCTTTGACAATGTCGTAAATGATTTATTTAATTGGGCAGTATTTTGTAGTTATGTTTTCCGAAATTATTCGATATGATTTTATTAGAAATTTACGTTAATCATTACGATTTTTTGAAATATTTTTATTGGATGACATTTAATTCTCTTTGCTCATGATGACAATTATGACATGATTTCAGAATTAGTTTTGCCGGCTCTTCGTTTTGTTATCGAGATTACTGAAAAAGCGATTAATGAAGCTGACGATGAGCAGTCTGACAAGTTATTTCGTACTTTAACTTTTCTGGGCCATTATCTTGCTGATGTTTTACTGAATAGTGCTGCTGCAGCTAATGTTGTTTCTATCCAGCATTTTCAATGTATGTTGGCAAACATTCATATTATTCGTGCACTTGATAATGCATAGTGGTATTTTAATTCATCTTGATTGCAATGAAAAAAAAGAAAAGTGACTTGAAGGTACATTTAATAAAAATCAAATTTCGAAGTCTTAATAGATTATAGATCATAACATGTTCTCATTTCTATCACTTGCCTCCTAGAGACCGCACATCAATTAAATTAAATAGGAATGTTAAGTTAAAGGAATTTTTGATCTTACTTGCATTATTCTCATTACAGTAGTGCAAGAACAATGTTGTACTGTAACAGCTGATGCTGTTGCTGCCTATTCAGTAGTTGGAAATCTAGATTTGAAGTGTGTCAAAGAACCTCTCGAGAAGCTGAAGGTGAGTTAACATACCTGTATTTCTTGACGTTAGCAGTATTCTGACTGCCAACCGCATGATCAAATTATTGGAAGTGATTGAATTATATTTTTTTTTTAAGAGAGTGAGTGAGTCTTTAATTCATTTAATCATTCATTTTAATATTATTTTAGTAATTATAGAATTCTTTGGAAAGGCTAGAAGAAATATGTCTCAATTTGCCAGTTGGTTCGAGTGATGTGACGGCTGAAGTAATCGGTGCTGAACTTGAACAAGAGATGAAACGTATGGATGAAGCGATCCAAAAAGCTGTGGAATTGATTGATGAGATGCAAAAGAAAAGTCGAGCTACTGATTCCGGGATACGGTCAGTGGTTTATTATTTTTAAAATTTATGTTTTATAGTGGAACGGCTGGGACTTTAGGTATTGTGGAGCTTTTCAATTCAGTTTTCTCGAATAGAAGTCACATTCGTCACGTTCAACACATTTTCTGTAAAGAACAGGTTCATAAAGCGATCTTTAGATTATTCTGTTCATTTAATTTGAAAAATGATAATCAGTTGATTATGAACATATACATTTTGTTTCAGTTTAAAAGTCAACGAAGGGATTTTGGATTCTTGTAATCAGCTGATGGCAGCAATAGTAACGTTGGTAGCAAAAAGTCGCGCATTGCAAGAAGAGATCGTTGCTGCTGGTCATGATACAGCTAATCCAAATGAATTTTATAAACGAAATCATCAGTGGACTGAAGGTCTACTTTCAGCGGCTAGAGCGGTTGGAGTAGCAGCCACGGTGCTTGTGTAAGTTATCATCTACTGTATAATTTACATTAAGTAATGCCTACTATTGATCGAATATGGAATCTTCTATTTCGTTCCGGCACAGAAGCAGTGTTTTGACTATAACTTAGGTGATGGTTTTGTTATTATTCGTCTTATAGATTTCTAGATGTAATTTTTTTTAATGAACAATTTTTGAGCAACTACCAGTGATGTTTAAATGATGTTTTACAATTAGTTCCAGTAGTATTTGTATTTCTGGTGTATTATTTGATGTGGGCACACCTCTCATTATTTTCTTTTCAGTCAGAAAGCAGATGATGTCGTTTCTTGTCGAGGCAAATTAGAATATTTGATTGTTGCATCACAAGAGATTGCAGCGAGCACCGCGCAGTTGTTTGTATCATCCCGCGTAAAAGCAGACCGTGAATCGCAACGACTGAAAGAACTTTCTTCAGCATCCTGTTCGGTTAATACTTGTACTGCAAATATTGTTGCCACGGTGAAAAATGCACAGATTACCTTGAATGAGCAGAGTAGGTTTTCGTTTTATTGATGATTGTATTACCAAAGCAAGTGTCAGCGAATCACATGCTTACGGCTTTTGAGATTGATTTCATCTACCTTCTACTTCATTTTTATTAGCAGTACTTCTACGCAACAAAGCAGCAAAAAATCATAAAAGTTATTTTCCTCGAGCAACAATCGAATGTTAAATATAGTAACATAGCAGAAAGTATTATTTTCGAGATCTTTATGTCTTCTTTTTGGTTTAATCATAGAAAGTGAACTAAAGATATAATTTTACTTTTTATTAGAAAATTACAGTAGATTTTTCAGGAGATCTCGACTTTAGTAATTACACCCTGCATGATACTAAAAAAGAAGAAATGGAAAGCCAAGTGCGTATTTTGGAGTTAGAAGACCGATTGGTACGAGAACGGGCACATCTTGCACAGCTTAGAAAGCAGCATTATCAACTTGCACAAATTGTTGAAAGTGATAGTGGTTCTGCTGATAAATAAATGAGAACGGACAAAGTGAGAAAAACTTAAAAGTTTGCTATGAATTAGTTTATGAGGAACTGGAAAATTTGTCATCGTTTACATCGGAAGTTTAGAATTTTGTTCCGGGTGTTATCTTTAAAATTTAGATGGATATTCATCCTTTCCGCTGTTGTTGTGATATCGAGCAGAATGTTGACATCGTTTTACCGTAATTTTTTTTTTTTTTTTTGATCCATTCAGATTTCATAGTATTTTCGTTCTCAGGCTGCTTTATAAGGCTTTATCTATTGATTTTTCCAGAACAAAACAGACCAGCTCTGCTGTAGTTTAGGAAAAATCTGGATTGTTAAATATGCCAGTGAAAATGCTTTATTGTATATTGTTCATGTGAATATTATTTGATTTCATGAACTCGAAATCTTAATTGCTATAAAGTCCGCATCGACTTTAGCCGATATAATTTATCATGTTTAAACAATTAAATTGCTGACTTTTATAATTTCATCTTTAATAAGCTGACGAAAGTAACGAATTGTTATGTAATATTGTTCTCGCGATCACTAGTTCATCTCTCTGCATCTCTTTACTTTGCGTACACTTTAAACATAATTTCGTATGCCTTAATTGGTGATAGCTATAGACATATTTGTGAACAGAGATCTAGTCTGAACTAATTAATTTCAACTCAATTGATCATCATGTGTTAGCAATCGATGATGTATTTCTCATTTACAGCATTTTTTTCCACAAGTTTTGTAGTCCCATTTTTGGTTATATTTTGTAAAAACTATATTTGATGCATCATTTTCCATTTATTCTTTTTTTTTTTTGTGTCGTTTGTACAAAAACTTTCTAATATCAATAATTAAATCTTAAGTTGCTTTCATCTGTACTTTGAAATAATAAATTATTCAGCTGATTTAATGCGCAGTCTTTTTATTTCATACATATCAGTTGTAGCTAAAATTAAAGCATTACTTACAACGGTAGCCTATTATTATCCTTTACTGTTTTCTTTTTTCTGTATAAGTTTTCCGAAAATGGAATTGTTTCACTTATTCCCTTTATCGTGAAATATTCTTTTAAAATGGTGAAGAGTTTTCGTTCTTATTTTCCGACAAGCTTTCGTTTCCTACAAGAGGTAAGTTAGGTGGGATTCATTACATGAAGTGGAAATTTTGATTAATGGTGTAGAATTTCATTTCTGTATGATTAAATGCACAAAGTCAAGGCCTTTCTTTAATTTCATTTAATGCAATGAAATTTGGAAATTTGTAGAAGTTGCGTTGTGCCGTTTTTCCATTTATGTTCCCAGCATCATTTACCGCAAATTAGGCATATGAAGGTATTGAAAGTCAAGGTACAGAAACTGTTATATCGGAAGTTAAGCTAAGCAGGTAAAACAAATTCTAAAGAAATGTCCAATTCATTGTAAAAATGAATCAGTCACTTTCAGTATCGGAGTTGAAATTGGACTGAGCAAATAATGAGTAATGTAAATGAATGTGAGGATAATGAACATTCACCACTGCTAAGTAGCGAAAGATCAGTAATTACCCCAAACTATGAAGGTATTGAAAGTCAAGGTACAGAAACTGTTATATCGGATGAGCCGGACGAATATGTTAGTCATGAAGAAGAGCATCATACTGTGCCACAAATTCAACAAACAGTTTCTCATGCTTCCGGTGAATCAGGCGATACATCCAGACATTTCGGTCCAACTGTTATATGCCGAGTATGCTCAGCTATAATTGTTATTGAAGGCAAGGTCAAGAAGTTTGATTTCTTAAAGGTTTTTATCACTTAGGATTTTTTATTAGATTATTATATCAACATTGCTCGTAAGATAGCTTGACAAATAAGGTAATTTGATACTTCTCAGTCGAATTTTAATCAATATTTTGTGATACTTACATTTATTCTTTGTGAAACATTTATTTCTTCAGACTGGGCAACATGTGGTGAAATGTAATCAGTGTAATGAAGCAACACCGATTCGTGCAGCGCCACCTGGTAAAAAATATGTACGTTGCCCGTGCAATTGTCTTCTACTCTGTAAAGCTTCTTCAAATCGTATTGCATGTCCACGTCTCAATTGCAAGCGTGTTATTACGTTAGGTGGTAGTGCACCAGTTGGTACGGCAGTCAGGTATGTATTTTTTTTTTTGCATGTTTCTAAATCTAAGGGATCTAAATTTGTAAAAAAAAAAGGTGCAATTTCGTCTGATTTTTCTTTTTTTTTTCTTTGAAGAAATTCAATTCCTTGTCATGGAAAATTTTGCATATTATGCTTCTGTAAACAATGTCTAAAAAATTATATATTTTATAGAGCTCCAACTGGAACATGTCGTGTTCTGTGCGCTCACTGTCAAGAAATTTTCATGTTCAACACACTCAATGTTACCGTCGCAAAGTGCCCACATTGTCAGAAAATGTTAGTTCATCTAATTTAATTTAAAAATCTTGTAAAGTCCAACCTATTTTAATTCCTTTGTTCTTATTTTCAGCCAATCATTGCACTACTAAGATGCATATAGTATTATCGAAAACAGAATAAGTAAAAGAACTGATAATTGCTACTTTTAGTAGGAGAGCATCTATAAGTATATGAGTTTGTTAAAGATTAATTTGAACCACTAGTTACTAGTTATAATATGAATAAATAAATGTTGTAGTTCGTCGGTTGGTCGTGATTATGCTCGTAACAGAGCAATCTTTTTCATCGTTTGCTCCTTGTTATTCTTAATAGCTGCACTTGGTTTAATGGTCAGTTTTTTTATTATGTTTTTCAGTTTTTCATTGTTAATTTTTTCCTCAGTAGTTTTAGACAACGATTATATAAGTGAATCTTAGTAGTGAAGTTTACTTGCAATTTCTTGGTCATTATTTTTATTTTTTAGGCAATTAATGCTTTCCTCATTCCTCAATGAGATTAGATGTGAAATTGACATATTATTTGAATATATCATTCTTACTTCCAGGCATTGTGAGATTGAATAAAATATTAAAAAAAATTAAAAAGATCTGCGTCACTTATCTTTTTTCACTAACATTATTTTTTCTAGATAGGGACATGGCATTCAGCGAAATCTGCACCTTTTATCTATTTCGCTTGGCTATTTGTGATTGCTATTGCATTGTTTTTTTTCTTCCGTTTCGCTTATTTTGTAAAACTAAAAACAAGCACAGTTATTTCTCCATTGTAATCAGATACGTAAGGAAGACATAATTCCAGTTCGTTCCGGCTCTAAATGATTTTTCATGCCTTAACTGTTTTTCTTGTACTTCTGCTTTAGCTCTTGTTGCTTTTTTGAGGACATATCGTGATCTTCAGTTTTCTTTTTTTCAGTTTCTGATTGTATAAAAAACATGAATTATCCATATTATATATATATTTTTTTTTTCATCCTCCATGGATTTATTGTAAATTTTTTTTTCGGATAAGTAATCCAAATCCTGTACAGATGTAATGAAGTATTCTACTTTCCAGTCTTGTTGATAGGTTCATTCTCGCGAAGATATTTATTACTACTAGAGTAATGAAAACTTATTTCTATTTTAGCATTTTATCAAAAGCCACCTTTATTATCTTAGATTTTTAGATGAAAATTCTACATTTCTAAGGCGCTAATAGAAAAAGTAATGCTCAGTTTCTATTTCTGCTCCGTCAAAACAATTTACAAGTTTTTCTTGCTCATATCCGTATAGGTTGCTCTTATTTGTTCCATATTCCAAACATGTACTAATTTCAGCTATTACAGATTTCATTCTACTATTTAAAAAGTAGGTTTTATTGCAAGTGTTTTTTGCATACAGTAAATTTATTAATTATACAGCCTACGAATTAATCACATAAGTTTTAAAAGTGGAACTTTTACGTGATAGAATATCTGAAATTTCGATTTTAAATTTCCGGTTGTTAGTTATTTAAATATGTTTTCAGGATTAAAAGATGTTATAGCTGAGTGAAATGATAATTTTCAAGTTCTTTTTGTTTTGGGACAGTGATAATTTTTAGTAGAAATTCTAGTAATGTTTCACTTCACCGTACCTACTACTTGTGTAAAACTTTTGCAAAAATACAAAATAAATTATTGTCATCAATCATTTATTAATTGTCCTGAAAAATAATTTCAACGCTTTTCTTTCACAATATTTTTTTGCTTTTGTGTTATTCAACTGAATTTTTAGTCATCAAGTTTATTTTCCTAAATCGTTGGAATATTTTTGATGTATTGCAGGGAATTAATGTCAGTCATCGTTTGTCTATCATCGAAAAATGTTCTGTCTTTTTTCAGAACAGTTTTTATTGGTGATAAAAGACAATTCATTGAATTTTAATTGATTTTTCTGTCGTCCATAGATTCCTAGCTTATTTGAATTTGCTACAAATAGATCATATTTGTATTAAATTTATTTTGTCATTCAAGCATTTTTTCTTCCTTTTATATTATTTCATGTATTTGCTATCATATTTTGCATAGCATAAATTATATGATTAATTTCGTGCCACTCAGATAAATTGTTCATATTAGAAAATGAATCAGTTTTATCGCGAAATTTATGTGAAGTCATGGATTTTACTTCAAACTAGTAATTGATTGGTAAAATCAAAGACAAGAGAAAAATTGTGTATAAAAGCTTTGAAAGTTAAATTACCATGGGTGATATAATGTTTGAGAAAATTTAAAGAAATAGTTTTTTATCAGCTCCTAATTTATTATATTTAACATACTTTAATGCGGTGTACTACTGTATTGTTTAATAATAAGCTATTTTAAATTAGAGATTGGGTTTTGAAAAGTTATTGATTGCTGTGAGATTGTCCGATGTTATCTTAAATTATGAAATGAGTACAAGTGAGGTTTATATTTACTAAATTAAGATAATTAAAAGGAAAGCTTATTCAGAAATGTTTTTTCAGTTTCATTCCTATTTCATTGCATTCATTTTATATTGATGAGCAACCGTTTGTCGATTTTATCATTGTACAAACGAATTTTACGGAAAGCTGATAGTTTCGTGTACACTGACAAGGAGTATTTCTGTGAACGGGTTTATCGAGAATTTTTTTTCAACAAAAAAGCTACGGGCAAAAAAGTGGAACAACTTGTGAAGGTTTCAAATTTTTTATATTTTCAAATAAAAAAATCTAGCTGGTAATTATTGCTCGTCAGGTATGCTTTAATGCTACAGGTTAATGATTTTTTGTCGACATTTAAATTATATATAAACTAAAGAAAATGGAAAGTAAAAGTATGAAGGATAAGAAATCATCTACTTCCTATTTAAAATTGGAAATGAAGGAATAAAGGTATAAAGGATTAAGAAATCAGCTGCTTCCTTCCTTTCGAAGCAGCTGATTTCTTAGCGAGTCTTTCGTTACCTATTTTAGCTTAATCTATTTAAATTTAAAGAACTTACAGATATAAATTTATGTTATTGATGTAGGCTAGAAGTTATTGATGTAGGCTAGCATTTTTATTGCAATTTAAAGAGTTTTTGTTTTATTAATGGAACATTTTAGCATTGAATAATATAAGCATCCCTTTATGGTGATAGAAAGGAATGCTTTTACCAATATTACTACATTGCTTAGTTATATCAGGATCTTCTTTACTTAAAGGGTTTTGTCACATTTGCAAACATTTTATATTAAAAATGTGATATAACTACAGAAATCCTTCTTTGTCTATCCTAGAAAGCTAACCAACTATTGAAATCGGATCGGTTTTGTTGAAGTGTCAATTATGGTTTGCATATTGGGAATTGAAAGCAGTGCTAATAAAGTTGGTGTTGGGATTATTCGTGATGGCGAGGTATCTGTATATTATTACTAACCTTCAGTTCTGTGTAATTTTAATGATTGTACTAATTTATTGGCATGCATTTATGTATTTATACTTAGGTATTATCAAACCCTCGGGCTACTTACCATGCTCCATTTGGTCAAGGATTTCGACCACCCGAAACAGCAGCACATCATAGACAGAATATTGTTCGTATTGTTATTGATGCTTTACAACAAGCAAATATTAAGGTATTATACGAAAGTGTTGCTTGTACTATAATTTCCTAGTCGTATGCCATCGACATTTTTTTGTTTTTTATCATCATTATTTTTATCCTTTTATTATCATTATTTTATTGACTGGTTAAAAAATTGTAACTACTTTGTCATTATATTACAAAAACATCGAAACTTTGTTGTGTAATTAGTATTAATTCGCTAAACGAATTTGTTTATCAAAAGTTTAAAATTATCGTTGAAACGCCCTACAGAGTGTTCTTTGCACTAATTATATTGGAGTTGAAAATAGTTTGACACTTTTTTATAAATATGATCAATAATTGACATTAGTTAATATACGGTATTGAAATTTTATTTCAGGATCCACAAAATGAAATTGATGGAATTGCTTACACAAAAGGACCAGGAATGGGTGCTCCACTGCAAGTTGGTGCAACCGTAGCGCGTACATTGTCGCAGTTGTGGTCAGTCCCACTTTATCCAGTGAATCACTGTATCGGTCATATTGAAATGGGACGTCTTATCACGAAAGCGGAGAATCCAGTGGTGCTGTATGTTAGTGGAGGTAATACACAGGTATGTTAAACTAACGATGATTATCTAGCTAATTTTCTTCACTTTACATTGAATTTGATCAAATATCAGTAGAATAATATTTTTCTATTCTAGGTCATCAGTTATTCTAATCAACGCTACAGAATATTTGGTGAAACATTAGATATTGCTGTTGGTAATTGCTTGGATAGGTATATTTGATTGCATTTTTGAATTAAATTCGCTTTAAAAATTTCAGTTCATATTAATTTTTAAATATATTTCTTGCTTATAATAAATTTTGGGAAGGTGTATGAAATCAGTTATACCTCCTCAGATTTGCGCGATTAGTGGAACTGCCAAATGATCCGTTTCCGGCTTACAATCTGGAACAGCTTGCTTTGGAAGGGAAGAAACTTATTGCTCTACCATATACAGTTAAAGGAATGGATTTATCACTTTCCGGCATGCTTTCCTATGTCGAACGTAAAGGTTTGCAAATGATTCGAGCTGGTGAATGTACTGCAGCTGATCTTTGTTTTTCTTTGCAGGTTAGGAGGGAAGTTTTATTCATCTTCATGTGTAACATTTGCTCGAATAACAACAGATTTATTTCATTTCGAAATTCGATTTTTTAAAGAAATTTAATTTTTTAAAGAAAAATAATCCTCAGAAGTTTTTCATTAATTCTGTATTCTTCATTAAAAGTATTTTATGTTTTGAAATTTCTCAGGAAACAATATTTGCTATGCTAGTGGAAATCACAGAAAGAGCAATGGCACATTGTGGTAGTAACGAAGTATTAGTCGTTGGTGGTGTTGGTTCCAATAGGCGTCTCCAAACGATGATGTCAATTATGGCCGAACAACGGTAAATGTTTGGTTGATAATGATGTGAAAAATATGAGGAATGGTTTTAGGATGAAATATACATGCAACAAAATCTTTTTTAGGGGTGCGAAATTGTTCGCGACAGATGAAAGATTTTGTATTGATAACGGTGCGATGATTGCCCAGGTTGGCTGGCATATGGCAAATGCTAAAATGATAATTGCTCTTGAAGAGTGTAGCACTACGCAGCGTTTTCGTACTGATCAAGTTGATGTCGTTTGGCGCAACTGATAGGATTATAGATGAATAATCAGTTATCATCTCAGGAATCTCTTGAGAAGGGATTTTCTTGTATTATGACTTTATTAATTTTCTGTATACTTGTTACATTATTTTTAATCTTTAAAATTCAGTCTGAATAAGTTTATTGAAATTCAGATCTTATTTTTTCCTTTCTCCTAATTTGGTTGATTTCTGAATACATTTGAAGCGAACACTTAAATGCATTTTTTCTTACCACGTTTACGTCAAAGTAGTACGACTCGGAAATACTGCTTTATTTACATTGATTTATTCGTTTTTTATAATTAAATGCAAATTTGGCTTTAAAATGCAATTTAATTTTCATTGTTGGTATAAATATGCAGTTCAGTCATACAGTTTTTGCCATTATTTATTAGAAAGAGTTTTTATCTTGCGCCGCTCTCTATTTGGTCGTGCTAAATGATTGATTTTGGGCAGTTTTCTGCAAATAATTCTATTCGGAATATCTCTGTAACTTCGCTTCTTAATTGTAAGTCTTACCTGTCTGCTTAGTCTGGAATAATTATTACGGAATACAGTTTCATCTATTGGATTGGATTATTAAATTATTAAATACAATAGATTTTTACAAAATACGATTTTCTGTGGAATCATAATGCTGTAAAAATTTGTTTTCATAATATAGCGGTTATTTCGAAGTAATATTATTAATCAATTTAATGGTATCGTATTTGTTTGTTGTGAAGGCTTTATGAATGTATTTTTTATCCTTATTAGGTACTCCAAAAGTCACTATAGATTTACCATTCATCTTTGCGTGCTTATCTTCGAATTATAGTTTCCTTGTAAAATGAACGAATAGTGTCTCCAAATTTATTTCACATATATAAACTAGTTATTGGTAAGCTTGTTTCATTTGTCGTATTTTTAGTTCGATCATGTGTAGAAGCAGCTGACCGTTATTATTTTTGGATGCTTGTTCTTCTAATCCTTCCAGCTGTTATCAGTTGTTGTTCACTAGCAATATCACTTATCACCATTATTCATGTCCGTCGGTTGAAAAGTGTTACAGAAGCTATCACTAGCAGGTGAATATGTTATATTTTTCGCATTGAAATAGTAAAATTATTTTTTTGTGTTCAGGTCATCCATAGTTTATGAAGTTTTCGCGCTTTCGATTAATTTTCCTAATTTCGATTATCTAGCTTTTTATTAAGTTGATGTTTCTGGTTCATGTGGCAGTTTTTGGTTTCGAAAATTGCAAGTGTATTCATTTTTCATTTGATAGCTTTTACATTATCTCTTCCAGTTATTTTGAATTGCTGTTTTTGTTCATTTTTTGAAATGTTTTTCACAAAGTTGAACTTTATTATAATTATTAAAAATTTTGACATTTAAAATCAAGAAAAAAAAATTTCGAACTTGTGCTGAGTGATTGAAAATGAACCGTATTGAATATGGTCGAAGATTTATTTTCAAAACATTCGAAAAAGTATTCTTGCTTTTAGCACCCATTGGTTGGCAAGGACGGCGAATCGAATTGGATTGGGTGTTAGTGCCCAAAAAGCACTAATGGAATATGCGAAAAAGAAAAATTTGTTAAAATTAATTCCAAATACTGGGCCTAAAATTAGCAATTTAAGTGTTCCTCAACCTCATAATTCTGATGAACAATTATAATGCATTTGATGGTAACCATAGTGCAAATTTAACTAATGATGGATTTTACTATATATGTTAAGTTGATTTTCCATCATTTATGTCGTATAATATGTTTTTAGACTTTATAATAGAAGAGAAATGCTCAAAAAATTCACTCGTTTTCTTTTTTTCTTAAATTCAATTGCTTGTTTGATTTTTTGTTTTTATTTTCCTCTTTTTTCATCTCTTTTCTGTAATTACATCCAAAAATTTTGTTTGTTAATGTAACAAACAAAATTTTGTCGATGTTTTATTCAATTGTTTATTTTTTTTCTTTTTCATACAATAGTAATAAAATATAATTTCTTGATAATAAAAAGTACTATTACTATTTTATTCAATATCTACATTCGTTTTGCTTCTTTGGAACTCCGAAAAACTCTTCCAGTAAATAATAGGTTAATTATATTTGTTCATTTCAAATTTCTGATATTTTCGTCTTTAATCGATTGTAAGTATATTCTTTGTTTGTGTAATCTTTTCGGATTTGTAATAACTTGAAAGATGAATCTGTTCAAATGTTAAAATTTCCTGTCCTTGCCTATAGTACAGATCATTATCTAATACGATGTTTGATATTTCATTAACTGTTACCAGAATATGCAATGCTTAATATTTGTCTAAATGTAATCTTCAGGACAGATAATTAATTAATTTATAACATAGTTAGGTCATAGATAAGTAATCTATAAAAGAATCAAATCATTTATTCTGATACTACCGTAATTGGTTGTTTATTTTATCTAGCTAATGAATTCTAGAATGTTTAACTCAGTCTTACTTTATTTTTTTTTATCCGGTGATATTTTTCATTTCTAATTTCTCTCTTACTCAGTTCCATTTCCAATGAAATTCCCAGAAACACATGTTTCAATTCGTATGTTAGCTAAGAAAAGAAGTTCAATTCATTCAGTTTCTTTAGCACAAAGTAAGACTCGATTTATACAGTATTTTGTTGTATTTTTTTTTTTAAATATATATTTAGAAACAAAGTAAGATTTAATGGAAATAATGCATTTTATCAGTCCGTATACATTATTTCACTAGATTTCACTTACATAAGTGTCAGTGTTTTGCTATTGTTTAAAGATTCATTGCTAGCAAAACATAATTAATAGTTATTAGTGCCACTTAAGTAGTGGTATTAATTATCTATCAGTATTCAGTTACTAAGATAGAAAAAGGAATGAGAAAAACATGATTAAATAGTTCAATTCATAATTATTGGTAAAGACTGGTAAAAAATGATGGAAGGTCAGTAGGTCAGGACCGAAATATCATTTTTCGAGAATGTTTATTGTGTAATATTCATGAGTTATGGAATAATTGTCCTTCAGATTCTAAAATCAACAAGTTTTTTTTCTTAATTTAAACATTTTCATTAAGCATTAGTCATCTTTTCATTCTTAATTTTTTTGGCTATCTTTGAAATTAGATTTTGAAAGTAAGTCTTAAGTTTATTTTATGTTCGGATTTCATTTTTGAAAGGAATTTCGATATTTTCCAGGTGTAACTATAACTGATATTTCTCGTTTTGCTAAAATGAGTAACGACAACAACTTATTTCAGTGCCATTGCAGATGACATTTAATCGAAAGAAAGTTGAAGGACTAAATGAACTGAATACATTATTGAAGGATCTCAAATGTCGTACCGTTATTTTGTTCAGCGGTTCAAAAGATGGTGGCAAAAGTTGGTGTCCAGATTGTGTTCAAGGTTTTTTTTTTTTTTTTCCTCAATGTATTTCTATTGAATTAAAAGTCTTCTCCAGATCTTTTCTTTTTAAAAATTTGAAGTCCCAAATTTGTCCATTATTTTAGCGGAACCTGTAATTGAGAAAGTTATTGAACAAATTGTATCTTCTAATGATACGGACATAGATTTGACATTTATCGAATGCGCTGTTGGACCACGGACGTGGCAAGTTTATCCTCCACTTTTTATTCCATTAATAACAGTTTCTATATCCTTTCCGGAAGTAAAATTTTTCTTTTTTAAAGAATTTACAAAATTTTCAAATTTGTTTTACAAATACATACGTTTGCACAAGCAAAATATTTACGATTTATTAATTTAGTTATGGCAATTTTAGCTGGAAAGATCAAACAAATGCATTTCGAACTGATCAGAGATTTAAACTAAAAGAAATTCCCACATTACTGGATTATAGCAATAAGGTTTAATTCTCGTTTTTAGGAAATATCACAAATTTTAGTGGACAATTATTATACAGATGACAGATTCTCAAATCTTAAAAAAATTGGTGGAATAGTTATCTTTGCTAACTTTCAAACATTTAAACATTATCTACTATATATATATATATAATTGCATGTGCTACCTATTTATTATATACGTTTTTAGTTTTCTCTATTTAGGCAAAGAGGTTGTCTGGTGAACAGTGTGCTAATGAGCTGTTGGTGAAGGAATTATTCCTTGAAGATTAATTAATTGATAATGTTGTTATGAATTTTTGACATTCCAAATGATGAAACAATATGAATTTCAAATGTGCATATGAATGTCAAGTTGTATGGATTGTGATAATTTGTAACCAAACTTTTATAATTTATTTCGTCATTGAAAATTGAATTCCTATAAACAAGATCACTTGCAAACTTCGCTTTCCTAATTTTTATTACTGTCTGTTTTTTTGGTCATTCATTAAAAACTGCTTTACATCATCCACTAGTTTCAAATCGCTCAGTTCCTCACCACACATTGGGCAACCTTCTTGTTCATCCTTGAGTCTGGAATTAATCAAATATATGATTCCATTATCATTAAAAAAAATAAATGGGCAGTTTCGTGTAGGTTTTCTTCTTTATAATCGATGTAATTTGATCACAAACGTAAATACATGTAGCAATACTAAAAACCAAATTAAATGGAAAAATTTACATAAAAATTTTTACTTGAAATTCCAAAATCGAAATGCAAACTTTCGTCATCACTTCTTTTTTATTTTGTTATAAAATGAGAGAAATCACTCGGCGAATGAAATTTTATGATAACCTTTTTAATTCAGAATAAAAACCAGGGAAGCCACATGATGGGCATGTTGTAAAATCATTCGTGACCAAGTGTAAGCCCTGCAAAGCATAAACAATGTGCGACTTTTTTCACAAAATGAAGATTTCAAACAAAGTTTGTAATTTTTGGGAATAAACAAAGTCGGTTTCTTACTGTAACAATGCAGTAAGGAATCAAATTTTTGCATGAAGCGCAAACGAGTATCGATTCTTCCGTTGGGTTATCACAGTACGGACAACATGTCTTTAGTTCTTCTGGATCTGGTAATTTATCTGATTTCCTGAAATTGGAAGACTGATTTAATTGAAATAAATTACAAGCAATTCACGTTTGGACTACTGTAGTGTTTCTACGAAATGTCGAAATACACAAGAACACTACATTTTGAGAATGAAGAATTACTGTGTTAAATGCATACACGGTAAAAGCTTGCTTACATAAGCTGTTCATTTAACTATCAGAATTACCAATCCATTCCATTTTACAGTTATTTTTTTCTTCCAATTCTCAACTTCATTTATTTATTTTCAAATTGAAGAAGATTACCTTACAACAGCTTCAATTTTTTTGCGGTATTTTTCGTCAATACTCTTTCGATTGCAATCTTTTAGAAGCTCAACAGCAAATTTAAATGCTGATTGTTTAAGGCCTGCTTTGGTACATTCAATAACAGTAGTTGTAAGAATAGATACAACATCTGTAAATGTACTACTTTATAAGCATTTTTTTTATTTGTTATCTCTATGCTAATTCTTTCTTTCCTGATTCATGTTTTGAAAATTGGATAACATTTAAGATAGAAGATATCGAAAAAGTCAAAATAAAGCAGCAGTCGAAAAGATGAAAGAGTATTTTTAATTTGTTAATATAACTTTCATATTAAGAAAATAACGTAGTTTTTTCTTTTCACATTAAAATTTTATATTAAATTAACAGAGAAGATAACTTGTTATGAATTTTTATGTTTGGAAAATTAATCCGAATAATTCGCATATCGAATTTTCTTATAATATATCAACATTAACTCCCTTATTTTTTTTTTTTTTTAAATTGAAAAATAATATTGAATTTCTAACGTGCTGGAAAATGGCTGATACTACCGGCCACTCTTATCAACATACGTGCAGCTTTCATATGTTCGCCACGTTTCACCAAACTCTATTTAAAAACAAAAGTCATATTAGGATAATATTTAATATTAACCAAAAAAAATCCTAATTTTTTGCTTGGAAGAACTGAGATATCGAAAGGGAAAGAAAAAGAAATCAAAACCCCATCTCTTCTGCAACTTTTTGTTTTTAAATCGTTTTTTTTTTTTTTTTTTTTTTTTTTTTTGATAATTCTTCATTTTCCTGAAATAAGTATCATAACTTATTGAATAAATTATAAAATAAGCATCTAAAACTAAAGTGTTTTTTTTTTTTTACTGATGCTGTAGCCGATATTGCAAGATAAAGTAATGTAGTTTAAAATAAAAATAAGCATCTAAAACTAAAAATCATTGTCCAAAGTTTACCTTTATTATGAGGTAACTGTGTAGTAACATGAGGTTATTTTGCACCTCAAATGGCACTTTGATTCTTTCATTTTGTAATTCTTGATACATGCCAAACAATAACTTATGTGCAGTACGATATGAACCATTTGCTTGCTCTTCGGTGGCTATCACAACCGCTGTTTTCGCTGCTTCACGGTACATTTTCATTGAAATATAGTATTTAAAGAGAAATTTTGGATTCTAAAAATTAAAAAAACATAGTATGAAACTTTTTTTAAACCTTCAAGGAATGCTTTGGAGATTTCGAAATATTGACAATCGATATCGAATGTTTAATTTTTCCCACAAATTAGTACATGGATTTGATAAAACTTTCATATGATTTTTCATAGCTCAAGTCTTAAATTTATAAGAACCATAATTGGAACATCAGGACTAGTATAACTGATAATTGAAATGCCTAATAGTAAGATTTAATTTTCTATATCATCAGTGAAATCAAAAAAAAAAAAAAAAAGAAGTGATACAATAGAAAAAATGAGAAGAGATGGAAATTTAAGACATACCTTAGGAATACCATCAATTTCACCAAGCAAATAATCAATCATATGAGAATTTAGGTCAGGGTTTCGTGCTTCTACTACACATGCTATTGCTGTACTTATTGCCTTCGTATCTTCACCGTTTGTAAGCAAGTAATCCAATGCCTAAAATAATATTCATGCAAATTTAAATATCTTAATTAATTGCAATAAATCACCACTTATATCTAACTTAATAGAAACGATCGACTCATGCTACGAAATTTGATTACAATTATTTTGAAAGTTAGATGTTAAAATAATTTCAGATAATTTAAACTATGTCTTTTTCATATACAAGCGAAATGTTTCACAATTATAATATTAATGCAATAGACTTTTGATATATTTATCATTCTTGTTAAAATTGTGAGAATTATTTCGTTATTTTGTTATGAACCACTTTCTGGCGAGTATTCCCCAACTAGTTAAGTAATCCAAGCATTGGAGAATATGATGAAAAGATGAGAAAGATGAACATTAGCATATTTACAAATTTTCGAATCAAAAAAATAAATTCTCGATTTTCATCAACTAATACTATGAAAAAAGAGATTGCAATTCTTTTTTTTTTCTTTTATTATGAGGCAAAAAAAATCAAAAACCTTCGAATATTGCCCAGCTTTGTAGTAAAAAAATCCAGCTTTCTGTGAATTCATATTCTTTGCATAATAATCAGCCAACTGCAAAAACACATCCACTGTTCCATCATCTTCAACAGCATCAGCAAAAATATCCATCTTTTGTTCTGTTTCTGCCAGATGAAATGCTTCCTGAAAATAACCAGGGGATAAACGGTCGAACTGTGAGATCTCTCTCTTGAAGATCTCAATGGTAAACTTTACTTGAATATAGTATTCACTAAGTGGTGGAAAATTGTGAATACAGTTTTTTTCCGAGTGGTAAGAAAACTATTTCCGAAGAAAAAACAGATCAGCACTGGATAAAATTTTACTACTACTTATGTGTTACTTGAATAGTTTCTGTGGTAAGTTAAATTCTTGGGATTATTAGACAATTCCAAGATTCTACATTTTACACGTTAGAAGACTTTAAGAATTCACCTGTTGACATTGAGAAAGTACCAAAAATTGGATAGCTGAATCTTGATCTCCAAGTTTGGTGAAAAATCTAAAAAAGAGAATAAATCGGAAACTAATAGAAAAACATACGATCATAATGTACTGATAAGAATATACTGATAGGAATATTCATTAAAAATGTTAGAATTATCAAGGAAAAATTACAAAGAACATAGAATCTACTTTGCAACAAGTCTTGCTCCTTCAACGCTTCTACTTTCCCGCACAATACATACTGCTTCTTCAGGCTTATTCAAATGCTCTAACAGAAGTCTTACTAAGTTGTCGTAATCTCGAGCATTTTTGTAAGCCTGAAATTTAATTTAACTTTCATAACATCAAACATCAATACGATTAAAAATAATTTTGGTGAAGATATTGTCATAATTTAGAAAGAATTCAAAGGAAAAAATATTTGCAACGAATGAAAAAAAAACTTTACTAAAATTTGCTAAAACTTTACCATTGCAGCTTGTTTGAATTTTTTCTCTCTTTCCATCACTTTGCCATATGCCGTATGGATTTTTGGCGAGTGAATTTTAGGTAAAAGACTGCTCACCTTAGTCCTATAATAAACCATAAAGGTAATAAAATCTTACCAAATTCTTTAGTTTTAATCCAAAACATTGAAAGTGACAAAAAATTTAATAATAACATTTAAAGACAAAACAGATAGGAAAGAGCTTGAAACTAAATTTTAACAGAATTTACCAATTCTTTGCTTTTAGTGAAACTGCAGCAGCTCGATCATAAAAATGCCCAAGTTCATACAAATATGCTGCATCACTATACTGCTATAAAATCATTATCTTCTAATTATTTTTCTAGAAATGTACAGAAATCAAATTTCTTTCTGGTTCCCTAATCGCTGTAATTAAACCTTTATCTGTTCTAGAATTGTCGCACAATCGCGCTTAACGGCTCGTCCTTCGATACTTGCAGCAATTTCAATTCCTCTACAAAAATAAATTTGATTTTTTAAATAGGTGAATTGGTGTATGCATATATGGAAATTATAATACATACAGGAACAAATATGAATAACTAGAAAAGCAAAAAAATCGCTTTAATTAGTACTTACTTCCGAATATCTCCTGTGCGAATAGACATTCGAGCAATGCCAGAGTTACACATATTGTTATGTTCCAAAACCAACTTATATTTAAAAACAAAACTTTAATATGCATTGAAATGGAATACGAGATCGAAGTAGAAATCAAGCCATTTTTTAAAGGAAAAACTATCCAACATAAACTAGTCAAGTAGCAGGAAGCATAACATATGTAAAAGAAACCTGTTCATTGCTTTCGTCTGGATTTTTAATCAAGCCATTTTCGTATTGCACCAGTGCTTGGCTATAATTTCCCCTGAAAATTAAGAAAAAGTCATAGTGTTAAAAAACATTTGTGATTTGAAGTGCGATCTTTTAGCCCATGTACTTCCACTGTTGTTATACTCAAATACTGCACAGATGATTAAAAGGTACGAAGGTTACATAAATTCTAATTGTTGTGCATATTCCTTTGAAATCATTGGCACTTCTTCTTCAGCCAAACGTTTTGCCAAATTCAGTGCTTTATCCCAATGTAACAGATCCCGACGCATCTAGAAGGATGAAAAACGCCCTTGTATAATTTCAACACCGAAAAATAAATTATTCTCATCTAAATGTGTTCACTTTGAATTCCATAAAAATTCGATCCACAAGTTTACAACTCAATTGCACTTTTTAAAATTAAATAACAGAAAATGCGCAAGGAACTGCTTCTTACATCCAAAGCTTCTCTTGGCTTAGTCGACTGCAAAAAAAGTTTTTCTGCCACATCAAAATTTCCTAATAACAGGGCCAAATATCCATTTAGCAAATTTTTTTCCTCAATGTATTGTATTTCTTCCAAACTCCAAACAATACCCACTGCATCGATTTGCTTGAAAATCTTAATTGCTAAAAAAATTTTTGCTTTTATTTTTGCCGAAATTAATTTTACAAAAAATTATGCGAAGGTGCATATCATTAGTCTAAAAGAAAGAAAGTAATTTCCGATACTAACATTACCTAAATCTACTTCACCATTTTTTGTGGCTGTAATTGCAAATTTATTCCAATGTTCATGAATTTTCGTATATTCACATATACGCCATGCATGCATCCATCTAAAATTGAACGACGCAAAATTAATTTTCGACCTTTTTTTGCAATTTTTTAATTAGCAGGTGATTAGTGAACAAAATGCTTTCATTTTCTAAAATATCGATGTGTGAAAGATTAAGAAATGCACGAACCTTTTTAGATTAAGCGCTTGATCCAATAATTTTTCCAGCTAAAATTTAACACAGTTCTCTCAAATCTAATATATGAAATCTCTTCTGATTATTTCATCAATGAAAAACAAAATACTAACAGTTTTTGGTGATTTCCCTTCAAATACCATATCAGTTCGATGACTCTCCAACAATATACTACCAATACGTCCATTTTGTGTTTGACAGTGAACAATTCCCTTACAAAGCATCAATGGGATATGTCCGTATGGTATATTTGTGATTCCAATTTTTGCCAATGAAACATCTAAAAGATCATTAAATCAACCAAAATTGATTGTTCTCACATGTAACACAAAAGTTAACCACTAAAACACACAATTATCTACTAATTATTTTGTTTTTAAATATTCTGTTCTTACATGAAAAAGACGCAGTATGAATTATAAATTACTTTAAACATTTAAATCTTGAAATAATTGTAGTGAAATTCTTTGCCGGAGGGTAGAAAACGGAAAAGCATTCAACTTTGGAAAGCAACTCATAATATAAAAAAAATAAACAAGTAAATACTTATCTCTATTCACTGAATAGGCATAATGTTAGAATTGAAAGTTATGAGTGATTCCGAAATTTAATCATCAAAATGTTCTTTTTGTATACCACTTCTTCCCTTGCAAGATAATATGAAAAAACCTAATGAATGCACAAACATACTGTTATCAGTGTTTGACAATTGGCAATTAATGTTAATGAGCTAACTATCAATTAAATAAGCTTACTTTCTATTTGATTCTTGGACACAAGATAAACATGAATGGTATCTGAATTACATACAACAAATGTGTCGCGATCCACGGAGAAATTCTCCCATAGACAACTCTTTAACTATAATATATCATTAATAACTAATAATTAATAATAATAAATTTATATTCTCTCTACTCAGACATCTTTCGTCTTGTCAAATTCATCTTAATGTTTCCTGTGGTGTGTTTTAGAAATTTCTCTGCACATCCTATAACTTAATTTAATGGAAGAATACGACTGCATGTACGTTAGATATTTGAGGATTGTATTAAACTGTCAAAATTCACATGAGCAGTGGAATTAATTGAGGGGATTTTGACAGGCTCATTATCAACAGGACTGTAAATGTATGCATTTAAGAGTGCATCGAAAAAACAAAGCGTAATTCCTTCTGGTTCCGGATATAACGATGTGATTCCCGCTACATGTCTGTATTCGTTCACATATCTTTCATCTGCCAATGAATAATAATAAAGGTGCCCATCCTGGAATTAAGCATTAAAAGAAGTCATCCATTTTTCAAAATGAGTTAAAAGTTTAAAAAATGTTAAAAATCTAGTGAATTAATTTCTAGTTTTCGAATGAAATGTTTTTGAAATGTAAAATTCTCGAATGAAATGTTTTTCAAACAAAAAATGTTTTTTTCATTCTACAATTAACATATGTAAAGCAAATTAAAATTCATACATTTGTACAATAGATAAGGAAATTATCGGTGAGTGAAATATCCTGAAGCCCATAACTAGCATGTACCGAATCCGGAATAACGAATCCATTTCCTTCACCATGCAGCTGTAAAATGTTTAATCTATTTAACAGATTAATGGTAGATTATTTTTTTTTCTCCAGTATATTGTATTCTTGAAAATAGGTGGAAAAATAAACAAAATTACGATTAAATATATATAAATATTTTGTTAGTCATACCTTCTGTAACTGTGCCCGATTGTCAAGCTTAGCAACAGCATAGTTTTCATTCAAATGCATAGCATTAACCGTTGACAAATATTCAATTTCACAAACGTGTCGAATTCCTTCATTATTATAACAAATTATGGAAAAATTTATGTAATGACGAATGAATGTGCTTCATTTCATGTCATTTTAAATTGACAGTGAAAATTAAATTCAAACGGTATACATATTTTCTAATGATTTTTTAATGACATTTTTTTGTAGCTAATGAATGAAATTAGCCCTTCATACTGAGACCGATTCAACAAAAAATTACAAATAATGGATAAAAATGTTACATTAAGAAAATAATACTAATTCAATAATATAAAATTTTACCTATAAAATGTGAGCAATATAAGTCAGCAAATACTGGGGTATGTAATGCAAGATCTTTTCATTACTTACCTTTCGTTTCAGCAATTTCATAAAGCCATGCACGATTATTCATTGTAATTGCAATGTGTTTTGGACCCAATGCAATTCTTGTTGGTTCCAGTTCAATTTTCACTACTGCTAATGGATTCTGAAGAAAAGATACTTTTAAGATTCCTTTCGAAAGTTTAGTATTTCAATTTAAATGTTATCAGTGGATCTGTTAAAGAAGTCTGCCCACCTTTTCTCCTTCTCTAAAAAGGGTTATCTCATTCAATGACGATAAAATAGCAATAGTATTCCGGTATGCAGCTCCAAGCATGGGCATTTTTGTTAGAAATAAATGTAATGTGCCAGACCGAGTACTAGCAGCAACCAATCGTCCATCGTAATTTGTTGAAATACTACATAAATCTGTAGAGAAAAATTTCTCTACCTAATTCCTCCATTTAATTTGATACTTAGATTTGTCGAGAATATTAATAACTATTACTGAAAAGATCAAAGAAATTGACAGCAGATGAATTCACAATGACTAACAAACCATTGTTCTTAATGTCAACTTCGACAATTTCAACAATTTCATCAAGTCGACTCATTTCACGTATTCGTATCCTAAAACATGCTGACAGAATTTTTTTGTTATAAAGTTCTGAGATTCCGTTGAAAAATGCTCTGGAAATCAATTGCACAGCTTGTCTTAGTTTCGATATGAGCCGTCATTATCACTCAAAAAACAAAAGAGTAAAATTCTATAAGGACGAAAACACTTGTGAAAGATTGAAAAAAAGGAATATTTACTGATTGTCACCAATTAGCAGAACTTTAGATAATGATTCATTGATGCATATAGACGACAAATATGTCTTGAAATCTTGTACTGCATAAATTTCCTTAAAATATATTACATCGAAGCAAGTTGCGAAAGTTACTTATGGATTTATGTGAACGTTTCATTAGATGTGATTTTTTACAAATAATAGTTATGATGAATGAGTACAAATAATTTTTAAATAATTAAATGGAAATAACCAGTTCTTTAAAAAGAGGAAAGATTAACAACACAACAGCGTAAAACTGAAGTTAACAAACCTGACCAATCTCTGCAGCAATCGTTGAAACACAAACAAAAAAACCTTTATCAAAACCCAATAATAAAAAATTACTCCGATACCTAAAATTTTCTTTCTTTTTTTATGGAAGCATTTCGACTATAATATTATGTCCTTTTCGTCAATAATAATATCATTATTCTACTAACAATCACTGACATTTTTACGGCTTTTTTAGATGAAACTTTTCCATCAAATCACATGATATGTGCAAATGTTCTTCAAATTAAACTATGTGAAAATTTCTAAAGTAAAAAAACTTATTAGGTAAAATAAGTATAATTCATATATATAATAACTGACAATAACCAACCAACCAACAAAATGTTACGATTTGACCGTAATGAACTTGACATTGAAGATTGATAAGTTGTGTATTATCACTCAGCTCTGCCAATAGGATAGTATTCTGACTCAAAATAGCACCTAACTGAAATGGGTATACTATTTAAAATTATTTAAGAGTATACAATTCAACAATTTGAATTTAAAATCAAATTCGTAGTTTTTTTCAAGACAATTCATTTTTGAAAAATAAATGGGAGAAAACAGAATGAAGGATTACAGAAAGGAACAAAAAAAAATGATAAAATAATAATAGAAATTAACGACATCGACAGATAATTTCCTGTGTAGTCAAATTCTGGCAATGATGAAAACGAAAAAAAAAGTGAAAGTTTTGGAGAAAACTAATGGGTAATGAATAATGACTGAGAAAATATTATAATGATCTTATTAAATTATTCCATTCAAAACATAACTAACCATTACGTCAGGCTTAGCATTTTTATCAGTTTGTTGCTTCCGATCACAAAATTTAATCAGTGATGGTTCCATGTTACACATGAATGAATATAGCAAATCACCGTCAATGCTGCTAACAGTTATAGTGAAATCGGTTGAACCCAATGCAAGCAATTCATTATTTGAAAATGCTCCACAAGTTATGGCACTTTGATGCTTCCCGATTGCTGAAGTCTTGCTATAAAAGAAATGTTCCCTTTAATTTATTAAAAAGGTATTCAACATTATTTTGGAAGCATTTTCAACCTATCATCTTCGTCCTGAAAAGGATAACATAAAGATTCATTCTTTCAAATTTATACGTTTTCGTTTTCTGAATAACGTATATTACATACAATTCTGTGCATATGTAGCTCAAATAGTACTAAAATAAACTATATTTTGCATTCGAAGAAATTTTAATCAGACCCTTTCTAATTAATTTGTTGCAGACTTAATTTATAAATGAATTAGAAGGAAATATCGAAATAAGAAATAAGAGAATTGCTGTATGTCTGTCTCTCTCTCTCTCTGTCTCTTTATATATATAAAACTAACCGTGAGGTACGTTGGTTATAAAGTAACAAATTTCCCGTATCATAACCGATAGCCAAAACTGGCGAAATATGAGACCATAATATAAACGTTGGTTTCTCCCTTAAAAATTTTAGAACATATCTGAAATTGAAAGTGAAAATTGCTGAGCTACAAAATTTAAATACTATACTTGCAAAAAATTAAATATTATATTATATATTATAAAGTTTTAGAATCGTTATCAGTTTTAGAAAAGCATAAGAAATGTACTGTTACGAGAAAAAAAAATGTACTTAAGCTACATCATACAGTAATACTTACTTCCCGCTCATACCACTATCTAATTTGGTGGCTGTTTTCGACGTAAATTCCCATAATGTTACTGCTGTACTCTTATCATTCATTATAGCTAACATGTCACCATCTCGATCCCATGATAATGCTTCCACCTGCCTGTACAGAAATAAAAAAAAATAATAGTAAAAACAAAAAGGAAAAAAAGAATTATTGAGAATAATGAAATCAGTAAATAAAATCAACAAATAACTAACTGCCACCTAAAAAGAAATCCTACCCAGGTATGACTAATTCGTCAATCAAATTGCCACTTCGGTCGTATAGTTTCACCAAGTTACTGGAGCTGAAAAATTTTGATATTTCAAATCACTATGAGCTGCTTTCTTAGTGAATTATGAATTACATATTACAAATGCAAAACTGACTTAGATTCTGAATTTAATAAACAAAAATGCAAAATGAGTATAACATAAGTATGACATCAAGTCCATGACAATTATGTCATTTATTTAGTTATTGTCACTGCCCATTTAATATTCTATTCCCAATAAATATGATTAAGTAATTAATCATAAAGTATTACTTTGAAATAGACTCTAGCAAGATATTTCTCGTGAGCGAAGTGAGATTTAAACTAATGAAAAGTAAATAAAACAAACCCAGCAACAGCAAGATAGTTCCCTTTTGGACGCCATTCAAAAATTGGCTCACCTTCGCCGAGTTCTTTTTCTGTTAAACTACATATTAACTGCAAGTGCACAATAATATTGCTATATTCAATTGATTTTCTAAATTAATGGAATATCTCCATTGCTTCTTATTTCACTCTATAATTAATCAATGACTTTCTGTACATGACTGACCTAAACTAGTCTCTGCTTCATTTTCATTTCATAATTTGCCCTGAATCTCGCCAAAGAAAAACTTACTTTCATCCTTAAATATAACTGAATTTAATAAAGACCAACACAAAATTAGCCAACACAAAATAGCAATACATCTCGTTGCTGGGCAACGAAGTAATCGGAAGCTTATCGTGGCGGACGTTTCACTGTTGTAAACAAACGTAATCTTTCCCATACAATCTAGTATGATGTGAGTGAAAACGATGAGTAACATTTGTACATCTCGTGTACCTGGAGTAACAGCCTAACATAAGAATCCGTCAAACAACTATGCTCCCATACCCTCAAACTTCCCATCGAAATCTTTCAATTATTTCCTAAAACAGAAAATCCCAGAAAATTCATTTTGAAGCTCTAAGATACGTTATCCAAAATGTGCCACCAAATACACTACGTCACATTTAATGCATTAATTCACTAGGACCAAGCAAATATTTATTGCATATTCCCCATCAACAATTAGTACTTACCGTGAGCATTACTGGTACATCGCAATTGCGCATTTTAGTGTCTTATTTTGAAGTAGAGCACCAACACATGTATAAATAAGCAAATATTTATTTCGTAAAAAACTTTTTTCTCAAAAAAAGAGAAGTAAACTGACAACAGCAAAACGGAATTATTCACTTTATGAAACAAGTGCTGACGCCGTTGATGATTCGTATTTCCACGTGGCTGGCAATTGGCGTTTCGTTTTGTAATATCGAGCCAAGCGATGGATACGTGATTCGACAAGAATCAGTCTATACTTTGAGTCTTTGTCCTGCAAATCATGACACTAGCCATTGTAGTACACTATTCAGAAAGAAAAACGCTCAAAAGAGTAACATCTACTTCCTTTCCTCATCAAAAAAGTTCTTATTTAAACATGAGAATTTTATTAAACAACTCTTTGAAAATCATCCACAAATGTTAACATGAAATATGAATAAATGGTAGTACGAATGAATTCTTTCCTTAATAAATTGAGGAAAATCGGTTTAAAGAACCTTGCGATTTCTCTCTAAGTGCTTGCGAATATTAACTGCTTTTTTTATAAGGTGATACAAATCTTCCGGGATTTCAGGCGCCATACCCTGAAAAATTGTAGATAATCAGAAGAAATGAATGATTGTACACTATTATATTACCGAACTATCACAACAATGATCAACTCATCGGAGCGAGTTACGCCTTAAGGACTAATACAACAAATCGAATAAAAATGCAAAAATGGAAATTCTTACTTTAGATTTCAAAATGCGTACAATCTTGTTACCGGTAACACGTCGAACCTGGGCAACGCCATGTGAATCACGCAGTATTACACCAATCTGTGAGGGACGTAAACCCTATAATGTAAAACACCGCAAATACTTCCGGCAGCATGAAATAATTGTTCAATGCTTACTTATATAAAGAAGGAACCGTATAGTAAATCTGGAATCCGAATTCTGATCAAAGGAAAAAACTCCAATTTCTTACCTTCCTGACAATATTTGAACATACATAAATCTTCAACCATCCAACAAATTAAATTATTTTCTAACACAACTTCTAGATAACGCTATTTTCGAAAAAAAAAAAAGATGCTATGTTACCTCCAGCCTCACAGATTAGGTAAAGAAATAAATGACAGCATAAGACATTACATGAGCTAGTAAGTAAATAAAGTAACCTTTTTAGCAAGACGTGTAATTTGCTCCTGAACTTCCTCACTTGTAAGCTTAAGCCAAGTTGGTACCGATCGACGGTATGGCAACGCCGACTGTGAGATACCCTTGCCGGGATTGTGCATGCGACCCATAATTGACGATTATTAACTGTAGCAATACTCTTACGTGATATAATTTCCACAATTTACCTGAAAAATACCCTAAATCATTCACTAGCATTACATTAGCAAAAAAAATCCAGTTCTAGACAAACAAAGCAGTAACTTTAACCTACAAATGATTTAGAGTGATGCTTACCAACAAGTGACATACGACACACAACCTAACCAAACCTACTAACTATGAAACGAGCAAACCTAATGTCAACCGATTGCTATGAACGGCCACTCTAGCTGCGATATGCAAAATGGTCGTCCCAGCTCGTCTCATTCCTTTTCGTCTCGCTCAATTTACTTGTTTCATTTTGATTTCGCGTTTACTTTTAATTTACTATAATCTTTTGGTTACTTTAATTTTGATTTAACTTTTCATGTGCGTTCGCTATGTCTTATTTTCGGATTTAGCTTACTTCACCTTGTTTTTCTACTTATCTTTGCTGTTGAACTTCATCTTGTAATTTAATTTTATTCAATAAGTTGATAAAAAAAAGCGATGATTAGATTAGATTTATTTATTGCTTTATCTGTTGCAGCATTTTATCAAATGTTAATTGGAGATGTTGAGGTAGAGCCGGAACCTAATGTGAACTTGTTGCTTATTTTATGTGGCAATGAGGAAGCAACAACGGATAACGATTCCTTTAACTTGTTGTGCAAAATCTGTGCAGCTAATATTATCAGTGATCGTACAAAGGTTATATACTTATTTTCACTTTGCTTGTATTTATTTTATTAATATTTTTCAACGTAAAGCCGTGCGTGTTTGGGTATGTGTGTAGTCTGAATATAGATTATGGATGAAAACCTCAGGCTAGGATCATTACATATGACTTTTTGTAAATGATATTGTGCACTTTTAAAGCTGAAATCAGCCTACTCTTCTTTATATACACTACAGTTTCAGCTTTATTGGCTTCGACATCAACCACCCACATTACTTCCAAAAGAATCAACATTAGAACCATGGCAACTTTCACGTATCATGCTGCGTTATTTCAATGAAAAACTCACTAGCGGTGTTGCTGCATTCTGTGCTTTTGCTCATACATTCTCCTTTGTGGAAATTGGTGTCATTGTAAGTTTTCAATAAGTACCGATACTTTAATTTTATGATAATTTACGCAGTGTTACTTGAATTATCCCAGATTGCGTTATTTATCATTGAATTAATTTTTAGTTTTTTGAATTAATTTGCAAATGAAATCCGTAAATTACATGACCTTACGGAATATAAATTTGAGAAATTCTGGTCAAAACTAAATTTCAAACATATATTTTCAAATTTCTGTTCATCTTACTATTATTCGTTCCTTCGAAATTTAATTGCAGGTGGAGTTTTATGAGAGTGACATACCACATGAAGAATCACTCTCAACAATATTAGCATTACTTTCCGATATGGGTAATTATTTCTCGATGATCTCAAAGGGTGCATTATTCCAGCAAAATATATTTCCGGTAACTGCTTTGATTCGAACTTCTCGAATATATGATTATGGATTAGTGGCAAGTCTATATACGAACTGCATGTTATGTTTTGAAAATGGCGTTTGTAAAAATATGTTAGCCAAATAAAATGCCATTTGGAGATTTGTTTGAAGCAAAACAGTAATGTTTTATCAAATCGTGGAAGAGTTTGAACAAGTGATTACATTATGTAGAAAAGTAATGCGTCATTATTAAATCTAGTAACTGATTAGTAATTATTATTAGTAAAGATTGAGAAGTTAAAAGCAGCCAAAGTTTCAGTTAAGCTAGGTAGTCTATCTAGGTTTGACTTGGTAGTTTGAATGCATTTTTGAGACATGAAATGATAAAGTGCTGCAGTTACCAATACAATCACTTTTTTCAACAAACATATAATGGGAGAATTTAATTATTTTATAGAAAAAGATAATAAATTATTTTTGATTGAATCTTTTTTTCTAAAGCTACTGTGCTACTATTTGTTGAAAGATAACTGAAAAACTATTGAAGCTTGCAATATCTAAAAACTGATTTTAATTGTTGATGATTTTAGTTAAAATCGTTGTATGCACGGCAGATTTTATTTTGTTGCCAATTTTATAAAAAGAATCTACTGTCAATAAGTTTTATTACTTTGTCTTCTTCATTTCCACAGTTCTTTTTAATTTCGATTTGGCGTTGTGGCCAGTTTAATCCCTCTTCTCTTCGTCTTTTCCACCATAATTCATAATTTTTTTCACCTTTTTCTCACCTTTCACCTTTTAGATGAAAGTCCTTTAGTGTATTCACTAGGTATATAAAGAAATGAAATTCTCGCCTTCCTTCTTATTTCTTCAACAAAAGTTGGAATTAGTGGGCAATGATTTTATACCCAATGGTAACATTGAAAACTCTTTCATATTACAAACTACTGCGACAGTGTTGAGAGTAATTCCAATCGAAGTATTGTCATTCCTTTAATGATGCAATGCGGATTTGGCAACGACCAAAAATGTTTCTTTCTTTCCATCTTGCAACATAAGTGAAGTGGTGAAATTGTGTTTCATTTGGGAAAGTTGTAATGAATCGCGGTATCTCCTTTAGGTTTTTGGATCCGGGAATCTTATTGGTTCTTAAATGATATAAAACATCGTTTAAACTTTTCATTCCTTTGAAGTGAGTTAATGCATCGTAAACGATTGTTAATATTGTCATGAAATTATTTAGTGTCAATACTGTATGATTAGATAAATAATGAGTAATATCATTTTGACTGATATCAGAAGACACCTTTTGGATTATGTTGGAAGTAGCTGTTTTTGAATTATTTCATTGTTTCGACTGTGCAGTTGAGAATTAGTTTGAAGTTGTTTGATTAACGATTTTAATCGAGTAAGAAAAAGATTGTCATTTAGTCTAACCTTTGGCCAAAAGACATTCCTTTTGTTTCTTGGTGACATTTTATTTAAATTCTAATGCCTTCTACCTTTTCAATATCTTAGGCATTGGATTGTTCTTGAATGTCTATTAATTCTAATTTTCAGAACTGATCTATATCTGGAGTATTTGTGACATTCGCGACACAAATGGATTCTACGATTATAAGCTATTATTGATCTGATTTTTGAATGAAGTAATAAGAATTCAGATTTTAAATCCTTAATATTACTTAACTGGATAAATTTGAAGAGGTAACTGGCTCCAATGAGTGTGTCAGGTTGCTTTTAGTTGATCTTATTGGCTTATTGATGACAACTCCTTTTTATTCAAATTAATAACTTGCAATTTGTTGAGTAATCAACCCCAACTATCTCAAGAATTATTATACCCCTTTTCCGTTTTCCATTCCTTTTGGTAACAAAACATGTTTTTAACATCCAAACGAAGCGATTTTCAGCTTTTTTTTTTCGTTTGCTGAAGTTTCAATTCATTAACTAACCTGTTAATATGATGGATAGCCTTACTGACTACAATGATTTTCTTACACAAATTGTTATTGCATTGCACACAGATCCATTTGTTCCGTATTTGAATTCATTACTCAGGTGGTTGTTTCCGTGTAATTTGCTCGGACATAGCGTCGTATTGTGAATGTTGCAGCAGAAACAAGAAAAGTTACTTTTTATTGGAATCACTTGTTGCATGCCATATTCGAAGACATTTGCATTGATTTTCCTCAATAAATATGGCATTGAATAAAAACCCAATGGTATTTCTAGCTTTATTATCCACAGAAATTTCCTTGGACTATCTTCTTGGTTACGTAGTCAACGTGATTAAGGTCGATGCTTCTTTCCCAGTTTCACGTTCTGCTAGTTTTTATTCCACTAAAAGTTTAGCATCTAGTGACTTTCCGCTTACGTTGCGCTAGTTCTGTCAAGAATTGTCTTAGCTTGTTGACTGCCCAAATTTCTTCTTTCTTTATGCCGAAATTTACTTTCAATGACGTCTTCTATACTAAAATGTTCTAGATCCTTTCAAAATCTTTCTTATGACACTAAGTTCTTCAAAGCAGTACTCTAACCTGCTGCTAGTAGAGTCTTTCCTTTAAGAAAAAATATCAAATAATTCACTTCCTGGATGTCTAAGATAATTTGGAGATGAACTGTTGCTTCAAAGCCGCTCCAGAAATGTCTGAAAATTTTTGAGTCGCCATTAAATTTGCCAGTGACAACTATGCAAATTTACGCTAGGCGATATTGAGATATTTCCTGTGGAGGTAATTCTCTCATACCTTGCTAACTTAATCGCTGCACAATTAACTTCTAATTGTTCACAACTTAAAGTTTCTTTAGCATCATTTATTAAGATTGCTTAATACTCCACTCACTGTCGTCGACCATTTCCACATATTTATCTTCCTTCTTTATTTGTTGGGCTGTAATTTTTGGATATATATAATCTTGGCTTATTGTTTCGAGTGTGCTTGTATAAAATTCAAGACGTAATATTTTTTCTTGATAATTCTTCTTTTGACGTCATAGCTCTTTCTTTGGTAGCGAAAAGTTTAGTTTCCTAATTTTACTGATGATTTTCTTGATCTTCTTGACCGCCTTAGTTGTCTTTATTATTTTATTAAATATTTTACCTCATCTCGGGTGCCAAGAAATTTGTTGAAAATTTATATTTTGTTTGGGAAATTTTCTGTGGTTGGAGTGTTTATAGATGTGTTGTGTAATGGGATCTGTTGTAACGAATTTTATTCCTACGAACTACGTTAATGCATATTGATAATGTACTGATAACTTCTAGAAGCGTTATCTACGAGCATGGAAAGATGCGGAAGAGTTTGAATGAATGAGTGCGCGAGACTAGTCAAACTGAAGCTTACGTGGGCATTGGCTCATACTCGCAGTAAGTAAAGAGCTGTCACTATCGAACGAATTTACTTTTTATACAGGTAAGATAGTAAGAGTTGTTTTTAACATTGTGTTAATTGCTTGTAAGATGACAGTTACACCGACAGATCTCTGTACTCGACGTTAGACAAAGAGCTGACCAAAAACCTTTTAGCAATCGAATCTCAGTTTGACTTCTAAAATTTAAGGTCGCAAGAATAAAATGACTCAAAGCAATTCTCAACATATTAAGCAATGCAAACATTCTTTGTTAACAATGTGTAACATTCTAAACACTAAACATAAGCTTGACATGGCTACATTTGAGAGATGAATGTGAGATAAATGGTTTCTCACTTGAGATGGGAATTTGAAACAGCTTTATTTCTAAGGTATATTCAAATAAGACAATCTCTAGTCTTATGGATTTTGTAAAAATTTATTTTAACATATTGTAATTCGGTTCCTTTTCTTTTTGAATGAGGGAGTGTGAATATAAAATGATAAAAATTAAATGTTTTCAATCATTATGACTATCTTGATTACTAGTAACTATTGTAAAGAGAGTTTGGGGAAACTACTATGATGATATGTTGTGTATTACTTGTGTAAACTGTTTTTTTATTTTTTATTTTTTTTTTTAAAATGAAAAAAAAAACAGTACCCAATTAGCTAATACTCGTTTTTTTTTTTTTATTTCTATGGCAATATTTCCGATTCGAATAAATGAATTGAATTTCGAGCGGAAGTTAATCATAAAACTGAGTAATTTGGTGAGAGATGGGCATATTTATCAAATGAACGACAATTTGACTAATGAGACGGCACGAATTATTAAAATGTTATTTGCATATGTTATGGGATAACTTTCAAATTACTGCAATTTTCTTAAATTCTAATTTAAATTATTTGATGAGTTTTTTGTAACCATTTAGCTTTAAAAAATAATGACATGACATGATGTATCAAACATAACAATGTTCTTATTGAACATTACACCTTCTTTAACAGGTCATCTCACTACCATTGACCATTCATCAACGAGGTTAATTCTACCATTACCAATTCTTTCTTACACGAAACAATCATACAATTTACTTATTGGTTGTCGCAGAGGTTAATCCTATCATTACCAAATTACTTATCCACTACCCAGAACCAATAATATAAAAAATTTTTACGTCACTTTTATGTACAATTAGTGTTTTTCTGCAATCAATACAACATACCATACGTGTCATCATGCATTGTTACTTCGGAAAACCCATTAAATTATATAACAGGAAATTTTAACCATTTCTTGCACTAAAATATGATGCTCAATAGGATGAAAGTTTCTAAGTGATTTTTTTACACTACTGAAAATTGGCTTGATACTTGAAGTGATACTCCGAAATATAAAATAATAAATTATCAGTTCATCCCAATTTTCTTTACCGTATCTGTTAATACTTTTTTCCCAAATCAAATTTCAATCCTTTTGTCCCTTTTCGGTGACCGCTATAAAACTATACATGCAGTATAGGGAAAACGTACCCTAAAATTCCAACTGTATATGAAAAACTCAATGGCAATCCAATGATTTATTTTATTCTACACACCCTTATACACTCATGTGTTACCTGTCCATTATATTTTATTTCATATAACAGAGATATTTAGCTTTTTATTTCTATTTGATAAGCAAAAATTAGGGGCATTTCAAAAAGTTATAATCGAATGATCTTTACGCGAAAGCAATAAAAAATACCAATCAGATAATAACTATTTGATTCTTGATATGATTATCACTGCTACTGACCAATATTGTTTTGAATTTCAAAGCTAAGCTAAATTACTTCCTTATAAATATAGCAAAATTAAACACATTTTTGTTAACTGAAAGCATAAGTATTATTTCCTTCTGTTAACCTATTTTAGTTGGGAAACTTGATCCTGTTAACCACGATGTATAAATATAAAAGTATACTGAATGTGTCCCATCCCTTACAAATCCATTCAACAGTAAACTGTACCGTAATGTAAATAATCATTGCAAAAACACCGCAGTGTAAATAATTATCGTTATAGTAATACCACAGTGTAAAAACAGCATTAGTAATGTGTAAATAATTACACTTAGTGATATCTCCAATTCATATAATTATAGGTAGTAATGCCACCGAACGGAATATAGTGATAATGTTATGATAGCTACGATCTAAACAAACCATAGCAATAATGTTGTGGTACCTACGATAGGTGTGGTACGTGCGGTACTAGTAGTCACACCAATGGTACCAAGAAGGACAGCGTCACGACGTTAAGAAATGTTAGGACAGAGAATGGAGAAAGGGAAAGAGAAAAAAGAGGAAAGAAAAGAAATATGAAAGCAGTGAATATCAGTTCCAGTAACCATCCGGAAAAGAAACACGATACATATGTCATCAATAACGACGACGACGACTGATGCAATGAACAAAACCTGTTAATGACTCATCAACATTATCACCGTACGATGAATCATTATAATAATCCCGTAAAACAATTAGCACACTGATACTACTTGTCAATAATGAACCTTTACTTTTCATAACTATGCGGAAAAACTGGCAAATGTCGTAAATACAAGAGATTATTTCGATTATGACGTCATGTGAGTGCACAGACGTATAGGTATAAGTGATGAATGGAACCACCGATAGAAGGATGAAGGAGCAGAAGGATAGCTGGATGGATGGGTGGATTGATGGTTGTTGATGATGATGGTGATGGTGAGGCGGTAAAGCAGCGCAGATGTCGGAGTGCAGATCGATACCGATTCAGTGGGATGCCTAGTTATCGATCGAGACGAAGGAAGACAAATGATGGCGAATGGCAGCAGTGGCAGCATCAGCAGTAGCAGTAGCAGTAGCAGTAGCATAACTGCGCTTAGTTGCTATGCTCATTCATCTGTATCGCACACTTCTATTTCCTAAGGCTTTTGCTTCCATACCTGTCATTTCTTCAATTAAATGAACCACTTTTGTAGTACCTATTAATATGTGAGTATATCTGTAGTTTTAAAATTTATAATCTAACTCTTTAATTGTAACATTTTAGAAATGAATGAACTGTTATTACTTGCTACAACTAGTAAGCTAATGTTTTAGCACCACTATTTTATAACTAGCAATCTGTTTATATTCATTTTTTCCATCATTTTCTTTCTAAAGAATATATTAGTATTATTTATTGTTATTAACTAATCTTACTATTATCATTTTTATTATTATCATTACTACTATAATCATCATTGTCATTATTACTACTGATTATTATTATTACTATTATTATTATTATTATTATTATTACTGTTATCATTATTATTACTATTATTATTACCATCATTATTATCATTATCATTGTTATTGTTATTATCATTATTGTTACTATTATTATTATTATTATCATTGTTATTATTATCGTTATTATTATTATTTGTTATTATCATTATTATTGTTATCTCTTTTCTGTTAATTATTAAATACTCTTATCGATTCAACCGTTTCTTCTTTCTCTTCCTCCTTCTCGTCCTCTTCAGTTCCCTCATCTTTTAGTTCAATGTTCGTCGTTCTTAGTGATATTATAGTTGTAGTGAATATCGTGATATGGAATAGCTACCTTATCACCTTAACTTTCCCCATAACACCTATTTCTCCTCCCCTCTTATCTTTTTTCCGTGCAGGTAAGGATATTATATATTACAGTGAACGATTTACTAGTAAGATTATTGTTTAAATAAAATGAAGTGGGCAAATGGACAATAGTGAGAATGTTGGTCAGCTTTGCTCCATTCATTTATATATAATTATTAAATGGATTAGATAGGTTTGCTAGTATTTTCTTTGTTGATTTTTCCGTTCGATATCATATATGATTTTAATAAAACTTACTTAATTTAGTACTATATTATATGCGGAATGTTCGCATGATGTTACATGTTAAATTAAATATGAGCAAAAAAAAAAAAATTAAGTTTATGGAAATACAATTTATATTTTGAAAGGATTAGTTCATAGAGCAAGTTCAAATTTTAAGCATATGGAAAATAAAGGAGAAAAGCGGAAGATTCGCGACGAAACAATAGAAAGTATGAACGCATAGAGAGACACAGCACAGTTGACACTATCAGCGTTAACCTAATTACATATGAAGTGAAGCTGTTTAATGAATTCTAAGATAGAATTTGGGAAATAATAGCGACACGATTGTTTATCTTTGTTCAACGAATAAAAGGTTCTTTTAAAAGTTTGGTGAAATTTTTATCAAATTTTGCTTTTCATTTGTGTAGAAAGGATGAAGTAGAAATAACGATGTTAGCATTATTCTATGTTAGCACTATTAATTGTTATCCTTTATTTTTATCATCATTATTACTATTATTGTCATTATCGTTATCATAATTTACTCATTTATTTATTTATTTATTAACCACTTACATAATAATATGTAGAAAAGATGAGGGGGTTTATGATTTGACGATGTGATGCGATATGATGCAGTTTACCCTTTTATGGATTACCGTAAGGATTATATATCATTTCAGTTAAAACATCTCTTGAACTTGATAAAACGATATCAAACCTGTTAATGATGATTGTGATGTTACAACATTCTCATAAAATGATAAATGATGATAATCTTTCTATCTGTCCTCTTCATCCTTTCATATAATTTCTATTTGCAAAATTGAAAACTACAGTTGCATTGATTCTTTTCTATCCATCCATCCATCCATCGATATTTCTTTCCAATAATTAATCCGACAAATGTCAACGAACTAAATATCAGTCTACTATTGATAAATGAAAGTAAAAAAGGAATGATAAAAAGAAGTAATGAGATAAATTAGATCAATCGACATAAGTATTACTAGTAATTTAGTGAAAGAACTAATCAATAGGAGTAATCGCTGAGATATAAATAAATGAATGAAAATGTTAAACGAATGCCTTCTTTGCATTCTTCATTCGTTCATTCTGCTGCAATCGATCGTTGCAATGAATGAATGATATTAAAGGAAAGGGTGGTGGTGATAACGATGATGATGATGATGATGATGATGATGACGATGACGATGATGATGATGATGATGATGACAGTCTGATGAAATTTTAGAGTGGAAAAATGTTTGTCTGTGAATGGATGATGAAATGATTCGTTAGCTTTAAAACAAACGTGAAGAAGGAGAAGGAGAAGAAGCTAATGTTTCCTGTTCCTTATGCTGAATTTCACTGGTTGGTTCGTTTGTTCGTTCATTCATCGCTTTGGTTGCTTTGGTTGTTTGGTTACTTTGGTTGCTTTAGTTGGCTGACGGATCAGTGTATGTATATGTGTGTGCATGTGTGTATGTGTGTGTTTGTGAATAAGTTGTGATGAAGGAGACAACACCGCAGTAAGTTGGTAGTTTGAAAAGATGATGTAGGAGGAGCGGGTAGGGAAGGCGGTGGTAGTAGTGGCGGTGACGGTGGTAAGAATGGCTTCAACGACACCAATCCATCATCAGACATTAATTCTCTTACCGTTGGTTGTTCAACTATTGAGACGTCGGAAATCTTCGTCGAGAGAACTTTTTCTTCTCTCTCTTTCCTCCTCTCTCCTTTTGCCCTTCCCTTTTCTAATTCTACTTTTTACTTCATATGTGTGTATGTGTGTGCATGTATATGCATGTGTATATGTATGTGTGTGTGTGTGTGTATGTGTGTGTGTATGTATGTATGTGTATGTGTATGAACTAAACAACTGCAACCTTTTTTCACATTTCGTAATGGTCGGAGTTTTTGGAAAGACTTCAATTTTCTCATTTCGTTTTATTTTGTTTTCAAGGGATTTTAATGGAAGAAGCAATGGTACCATACGGTCAGTGTTAGTATTGGTGTTGATATAATGAATGAAGTGATTGTTTATTATAAGGAATGTTTTCTAGGCGAAACGAATTGGATCGGGTCGAATCGAATCGATTGATAAATTGATTAAATTATCATTTAGAAAGATTTTTCATAAATAATGATTGTAAGTTTCATATGCTTAAATAATCTTTTAAAGTGACTTACGAAACTTTTATTAAGTGGCAGATGTCGCGATAATAAGAAATCACTTATACTGCATATCTTCCTGTTTGATGATATTTTGTATTGGAAGACAGCGATTTAAATGGGAATTTATAGAAGATTTCTGATCAGTGAACGATTCATCTCATTTGTGAAATAGATTGATGATTAAGGATTCACTGTAGCTGAAGGACGATTACTTCAGAGCAGTGGATTTCATTTTTGGTCACATTTGAAGGTTATATCTATATGGCTCTCTATATATATATATATATTATGTGTGTGCGTGTATGTGTGTGTGTGTATGTATGTGTGTGTGTGTGTGTGTGTGTGTGTGTGTGTGTGTGTGTGTGTGAATCTTATCGTATCGTATAATTCATTTAATTGGTAAGTCGTGAAAAGAGAAATAATTTCCGTTTATGCATGAGTATGTATCTGTGTATGTATGCATGCATCTATACATATATATATACATATATATGCTATGTGTTTTTGTATGTGAAGAAATTTTTCAAGGTTCTTTCGCATTTCGGACGTCCTTTTAAGGAACTTCTTTTTACGACTTCGTTTTGAAGCAACGTCAGTTCGTCATTTTTCCATTTCACACCATTTGTTGTGTTGATCGAAATCGATATTAGTGCTATTTGAAGGCTATTTGAAGAGATGATGTGATGTGTGTGTGTTTCTGTATGTGTGTATGTGTGTGTGCGTGTGTATGTGTGTGTATACCTTGTGGTGGTTATGTGCCAGTAGGACAAGTCTTCTATATCATCTTTGTTCCCTTCGGAATTTTGCTTATTTAGATTAGATGGACAAATCTCTCCCCTTTTTACCCGTAGTAGATTTGATTATCCCAGGGAGAATACGGAAATTTTTAAATATGTGATTTGATTTACAGGAAGAAATACTAGTTAGATGTGATTTGGTAAATAACATTTGTTATTGTCAAGTTTATAAATGAGTTTTATGTTTTTTAAGGATGTAATATCAGTTTTTAATATTACTGAATAATGAAAGATTGATGACTTTTTTAGTTGTGTAGTTTATTATTTAATATCTAAGCGCATTATACCTGAGAAACTTCAACCAAAACATTATACCTGAGAAAGTTGATATCTCACTAGCTTTGGTCACTTACAAGTTTTTCTATTCTAAATATATTAATATGTCTTAGTCACAGTTATATATGTATATGCATACATTTATTGTATTTTGATTTATATATCCATCATTTTTGAATGTACACGGCTTATTTGTCATCATTATTATGATGATAATCGTATTGATAGCGATGAGATAGAGAGATGAATTGATAACCAAAAGTAATATTTCTTTTCGACAGATTTAGCATTTGCGTCAAAAAGAAGCAATTGGTAAACGGACGGCAGTGGCAAATATCTCGAATGAGGCAGGCACTTCTCGAGCCGAAGATGTTATAGTAAATAAGGTTGGTTCTATTCATTTATTTTACATTTATAATAATAAGTATGAACAACCGTAAGGCGAAAAAGTACAGATATAAGTAATTTTAAAAATTGATTCAGTTAATCACATTCATTATCCTCTAAGAATATCAAACTCTATCCAATTTTTTTTTATCTAATATAATTTCACACTTAAGTATCATCACTGAGATAACGACCAAAGAGATGAGCACGAGGGTTTTTAAGTAAAAATCGATTTTTGTAGTTTGATTGTAGTATGAATCATCACCATTAAAATATTATTCTTTTCTCGGATGTAAAAGAAGTAAATTTAGATTCTACTGATAAGGAAGATTGATCTGTCATGGCTGTTTCCATGTCTGTGGGGAACATTTTATTGTAGATTAACCTTTCATTTGGTCTTAGTTATTTCCTGAAGCACTGTTAATGGTTGCTATCATTTCCAGGAAATGCTTGGCGGCTGTTGCGTCTGTGCCGACGAGAATGGTTGGGAATCGAACCCGCTTGTTTATTGCGATGGTCCCAACTGTGAGGTTGCTGTTCATCAAGGTATCTGTTTTTTTATTTTTTGATAACTTCTTTATCTTTGATTTCGAATTATTTTAATTTTTAATTCGATTAATAGAAGTTTTTTTTTGTCTTGTTAATTTAATTATGCTGAACCATTGACTGATCAATCTGACGTTATCTATTGACAGATTGTTCCGTTCGCACTACTGTCGTGGAAGTTTTCTTGAGCCGGATAAGGGTATTCTGAAAGGGTTGCTGTTATTGCCACTATCTTCTTTTGATTTATCGACACTATCTTATTTTGGGAATATTTTCTTGATATTAAATTCAGTCTTAAGAATTTTATATGGCTGCAATAGCTATATCTGGCTTCAGTATTTACAAATCCAATCTTAAGATTTTTATTCTTTTGGATGTGGAAACTACGAATCATTTTTTCGCTTTCCAAATGCTATCATATAAAATTTAATGAACAGTGTGTTATTTCTTCGATATTTGCCAGGAGAAAGTTGTGTAATTGTGAGAAGTAATGCATGCAAAATATGCATGTTTCAGCAGTTTTGCATTGTGAAAACGCGGTTACAACTACCAGTATGGATATTAGTAATCGCTAGAAATTCATGTTTTAGCTCGCAGCATTTCTTATGGTTAGTTGACTGGTTGGATGTAGGCATATACCAGTGTTGGCAGAACGTACCATTTTATCTTTTTTCTTGTCCATAGTTTTATTTCATTGGTTAAAAAGGGGGACAGTTACTAATGTGTGTATGTATGTATGCATGTGTGTGTGTGTGTTACTTGTTATTCGTGTCATTGTCCATGGTACCATAAAATATGTTCCTTATTTTTTCTCCTTGGAGAAATTGCACTTTATTTAATGGAAGATTATGGTGCAGAAGAGAAGGAAAAAGAAAGAGGGAACAGCGTTAGCAGTTGTAGCAAAGTGTTGCTCTCGACATTAACATTCTTTTCCATAGCTTCCCCCTCTTTCATTTTAATCCAAAATTGTTTCCTACTATTACACACATGCATGACGTCATTGTTTGTATGTGTTGACGATAATTTCTGAATACAATTGGTCATTACCTTTTACTGTTCTTTGATAGTGACATTACTTGAAAGTACTGAGAGGTGACTGATATGCTTCATTGTCTGCTTAGTGAGATAGATGATTGCGATGTTGATAATGATGATATGTATATTGGAAGAACGAGATTGTTTGACAAACATAGGCATCAAATCATTGAGGTTTTGTTAATTCTTTTAAAAAAGTAGGAAAAATAATTTTGAGTCTATGAAAACTGTTTAAGATGACTGTGAAACGTTTTTCTTTCCTTTGTAAAAATTCCTTGTGTTGATTCACTGTGAGTAAAGATTGCACGATGCAATCTACCACTGTTCTATTTCACAAATTTTAGACAATTAAATGAAGTGTATAAAAAATTGCACATTTCTTACGATTGATCGATTCGTTCTCAATGCATTCCGAATGTTGATTTGTTTACTCTCTTTATGTGCGTAGCCAAACTTCTCGTTAACATTATCATCGATATTGTTGTCATGATCGCCATTTATAGCTCATTTATAGTTGTCACTATTGTTGTCGTCGTCATTCTTGCAGTAATGAACACTGCGATATTTGCTTTCTCCCCTAGATTTAATATACATACTTTGGTTATTAGCGTTTGTTCGTCTTTCCTTTCTCTACTTTCTTTCGCGTCCACTACTACAGCTTATATACACATGTTCTCACATTTACGCACATACAAGCACGCATGCTATCATCACTTAGATTCATTGTAATGTTGCTGCTACAGCAACTATAATAATTATTATTAATGATACCATTGGTATTATCATAGCAGTTAATGCAGATGTTATTTGGCCGTGATATATACATGCATGTTTCTGCAATAGCGACAATTGATTTAGAAAGATGACGGAGACTACGGTATTTCTATTTTTACATCACACACAGAGGAGAGCATAAAAAGTGAATAATTCATTTGTACAAAGGGCAATGAGTTGTGCTGTTATCGGTGGCTAGTTTCACCATCAATTTTACCACCCACCATGAGAGATACGAACATTGTCTGAATAGAAATCAATTATTACATTCATATTGCTTCACATTTTTACTGATTTCACATATGGATAATAACAATGAATGTAAATGGGACAATTGAATGGCATCCAATCGTTAGGAGAAATTATGCATTTCCTTAGTTAAGATTAATGTATTGTGTTTTATTGCTATTACTAGCAGTAATTATCTGATTGATAATATGTACATTATTCTAATATGTACAGAAGATGCAGTTTTGTAAACTGGTTGGGGTGAGATTCTATGCCTCATTCTGATAGAGGTTATGTTGATTTAAGTATTTTTTAATAATTTAATCATCTGAGCTGCATGCCTTTCATATGCTTTTGAGTTTTTGTTTTATTTGTCGCTTATTTCTGTGAACTAGAACTTGTCGCATAATCTGCCAATCTTGGACTCTTTAACTCCGTAAAATTTGTTTACTCGTGGTTAATGACTAGTAACAATGCTTTAAAATATAATTGCATTTGCTCGTTATAAAACACAGTTATTTTTGTTATAAGCAAACAGAGGGAAAAATAGAAAAATCGAATTGTTTTAATGAATTGTTGTAGGTCATTATTATGTGATTTTCAGGCTGTTATGGTATTGTTGAAGTACCAGAAGGTGAATGGTATTGTGCAAAGTGCGCCGATTTTATTGCACATTCGCAGTACAACGGAAATAACGGTGATGTTGGAGAGGTACGCGAAATACCGCGTTGTAAATTGTGTCCCTTTGGTCATGGTGCACTCAAACGGACCGATAACGATGGTCAGTGTTGCGGTAGTCTAGATCGTGTGATATTTATTTATATATCTATCATTTTGAGTAAACACTACAAATACGTGATATTATCATCACTTATCCTTCTGA